TCAAAAGTATGAGTAAATAAAATTGAAAAATTAACAAGCTTTATTTCGACTAAATGTGGCTTTAAATTTGATCTTTTAATGATAAGTTTTGTTAATAACGAATCATTATATTCCAAAAATTAGTTCTAATAGTCAGGTTGATACTTTTTAAATTAAAAAATGTAATTTTTTGAGCTATTTTAAAGTTGCTTCTCATATTACGAAGTGGTATGGTTAATATGAGTACTTTTGCTATTTTTTCAAAACCTATGTGTTTTTAAGAAAAATTTTGGTTGCATAAATATCTAAATGGAACATTTGTAGGAATCCCTAATAAATGTTTATACGCAAAAATTTAGGATCCAGCATAGTTATTTATAAAAATATTCAAATTTTCGCCTAAAGTGCTCATATTACCCTACTCTACCCTAATTAAAAAAAGTTAGATTACTAAAAAAAAAAAAAAATTGATTGAAAAAGTCAAAACAAAGTTAAGTATTTTAATAATAGTAAAATATATTAATTACAAAATAATTATTTATGTTTTCTATAACAAGATCGCTTCTAATCATAAGGTATTGGCGCTGGTTTATGATATCATTTTTTCTAGATGTCTTGGCTGTATGGTTCAATAAAACTTTGCAAGTTTCCCTAATCGGAATCACAGGTGACTCTTCAGAGTAGTAACCAATTGACATTTCTAATGCCTCATATATGTGCACACAATGTAAAAAGATTTATGAACTGTTAGGGGACTCACATACCAGCAATATTTTTATAGTATAAGAGCAGCAGTTTCATAGCGATACTGGTAAAAAGTTCAATTCGTAATTATTAGATTAAAGACAACTCAAGTTGTCTTTAATCTAATAATAACATTTAATAGCACTCCCGTTTTATAGAGCAAAAGTTTCAGCATTTTCAAATACCCTTCTGCAGTGTTCCCATCGCTAGTGTTGCAAAAACTAAATTTGGGAATATCCAAAAGACTTAGATACTCTCTATACTCTCTTAGATTCTCTAAACGTCAGTCGAATATTTTCTTTTTCTTTTTTTACTTATGCTTTTTCAGTAGAGGATTTGGCAAAGTATTTTTTTTGTGGATACATTTAGGATATAAGTTTAGTTTATATCCTAAATTTAAAATATTTTCAAAAGATATGAGTCAGCAATTAAGTAGAAAAGTTCAGAGATAAAACTTTTTCATTGATGGTTTAGATCTGATCAATGCTGGGTTGTTAAGTTCACTGGGCTTAGCTTCACAAACATTCATGATTGAGAGGACAGAGTGTTAATAAGTGCATTAACCACTTTATCATAAAAAATGGCATATTAGTTTGAAATTAAATGTGATAGTCGTATCCGGTTTGTCCTCCTCTACTGCTAAATCTACCTCAAACTTGACTATAGTCTATTTTCATTTCTGCTTTTAAAAGTTTTTATTTATTTTTTATCAACTCTTCCATTATCTTTTGATGTTTGAGATGTAGGGGTCTACAGTAATGTGTACTAGAGGGGTTCTTATTCAACCATACATTTTTAATCATGGTGGTTAATTTAAGTTGAACTATAGTTGTCTCGAAAAAACTATACTTTTTAACTTTGGCCACGACAATATTTGTATCAGTATAATTTATCAGTATAATAAATTTTCTGGAACACAAGGTCGCTTGTGTTCCAGAAAATTTGAGAAGGTTTTTAAATTTTAAAAATTCATAATAATTAAATGAGATCTCAGTAATGAAAATATAAAAATAAAATTTGTTGTCAAAAATGCTAAAAGTTGCTAATAGTTACCAAACGCCGTAAACCTATGACTTCAAATTAAATTTTGAACTGTTTTTACCCAAGTCATTCTTAAAAGAGTTACAATTTAACGAGATTTTTTTGAACAAGTTTTCCGATAAATAAAATAAAATAAATAAGTCTCGGTAAAAGGCTTTTTATCCGCCTACCAGATAGAAAACTGGCACGCGTGCGCTCTAACCAAAACTTTAAAAAGTAACAGTGATGAACTAAACAAATATTTATTATCAGTTAGTCCAAATTCAGCTAAAAAAGTTCCTTTTCTGACTAACAAAATAGATGCTTATGATGTTCCGATATCGTCGACCAAAACATCTTAAAAACTTTCCTTTGAGGAATTCAAAAAAACTTTTGAAATTCTTAAAACAAATATATACGTTGGTCACAATGGAATAAATAGTAATGTTGTCATCGAATCGTACAAAGCCTTAAAACATGTACTATATAAAGTTTTTCATTGTTCAATAAAACAGGAAATATTTCCAGATCATTTAAAATAAGCTTCATTTACTTCAACTTTTAAGGTTGGCGATCCAACGAATGTTACAAATTATCGCCAAATTTTTTTCTTTCTGTTTTTCGAAGTTTTTATATAACATTACTTTTAGAAATAATTTTATATAACGTTATTTATCATCACCTTTCATTAAATAATATACAATATATTAATCAATACTGGTTCAAAAAAATTAACAAGAAGAACACGTTGTACTCCAAATAACTTGCAGCATCTTCTGAGAAGTCTCAATATACGTTGTGAGTTTTCAAACATTTTTCAAAAGCATTTGACACTACTGATCATGAAATTCTCCTTAAAAAAAAGAATACTATTGAATTAAAGGTAATGTTTTAATATTACTTAAAAGTTATTTTAGCAACCGTAAACAGTTTGTTTATAGTTAATGATACAACTAATCTATTAAATATAACCTGTCGAGTTCGCCGAGGGTCTTTACTTGAACCACTTCTATTTTTAATTTACATCAATTATCTCCTTGAAATGTCAAATTATATGATTTAAATTGCCACTAAATGCCGAAAAAAAAGTCACTTTCAAGGGATATCTAATAAAAAATATCAGCCTAAAGTCTTGCCCTTACTTTTTATAGACAAAATGTAAGCAAGAAAAGAAAGAAATACTAACTTTTTAGTTATATATGTTTGATGAAAACCTTAGCAAGAAATATCACACTAATTGTTAAAACTATAGGAGTAATGGGTAAGGCTAGAATGTTTTCAATTAATCAAGTTTAATACATTTATATTATTCTTTTATAAATTGTCATTTAAACTATGCAAATATTGCTTTGTGTACGATACGATAAAATGATAAAATACCAACACTTAAGTGATAAAAAAGTTTATAAGCATACAAGAAAAAAATAGCAAACTTTTTTTTTGGTCTAAAATAGAAAAAGTGTCGCGTATCTTACTTATCTGCTTTCCAGCAATATTTTGTTGCGCATTAATACCCAACAATGAAAGTTAGGGAATTGAGTAACAAAGAAAGTTATGGAATGCACTTACAAATATTCTTAAATTGCGTTCAGAATTGTTTAGTCTAACTATAACTCACCTTGCCAACCTCTAATTCAAATCAGGAATTTTTCTAATCTCATTCAAGATTGCTCAAATTACACCAATTCCTAAAAAATCATGACAAACAGTATTTAAACTCACTGACCTGCGCTCCATATTAAAACTCAATACAATATCAAAAAATCTTGAAAAGCTTGCTTTATCTTGGTTTCTTCCACATGTAACTTCAACTGTAAACTTCAATTTTTTTCAATCTGATTTTAGGTCTAATTACTCAACAGAAACAGCGCTCCTAAAAGATATACAATGACATCCTGTTAAACATTAATGGTGAACCACCATTTTTCTCTCTCTGGATATATCTGCAGCGTTTGATACAATCAATCACAACCTGCTAATTGCTTGTATGAAAAGATGACTTTAGTCTTATAGATACTGCACTAACATTGCTAACGTCATACTTGCACTCTTGAAAATCTTTTGTTTCTATAGGCTATATAACAAAATCTAAATTGTCAACTAGTTCAACAAGATGTGTTTTGGGCCCATTTTAATTTTCGATGTTTGTTTCTCCTGTATATCGTATTATAGCTAAACATATCACAAATCATCATCAATAAGCTGATGATACTCAATTATATACTTTCATTAACCCAGGTAAAGATAACAATAATAAAAATACTGCATGTGTGAAAATAGAGTTTTACTTAACCCTAGCAAAACAAAAGCTATCTTATTTGAATCTCGGAAACAAACTAGAAGATTTAAAAATGATACCAAATTTACATTCTTTGGAACAAAACAAACTACAGTAAATTTGGTGTTGAATTGTAGGTGTCAATCTAAATGCAACACTCTCCTTTGATCAACATGAAAAAATAACACTGTTAAACCCTGCAACTATCATATTCATGTTCTTCGCTACATTCTTCAATGCCTCACAAACGAAGCAGCTAACACAATAGCTTGTGGCATTATTAACTCTCAAATTGACTATTGTAACAGTCTTTTATCAGGTTCTTATAAAAAAAGTGTTAAAAAACTCCAACGTACTTAAAATAGTTTATCTGGCATTGTCTCTTATTCTCCTTTTTATTCAAAATCAAAAAAATTGCTAAAATCTCTTCATTGGTTACCAACCCATCAACAAATAGTTTATAAAATATTATTTATTATATATAAAACTTTAAATACTAAATCTCCTGCATATCTATTCAAAATTTTAGTAACCCGAATTTCAAAACAAGGCACAAGTTCATCAGACCGTTGTCAACTTATTTGTTGCCTATCAAAAACTTGCCAAGGATTAAAGTCTTTTTCCATGCACCTCGAATATGGAATGGCTTGTTTATAAAACACGTAACTCATCCACTTTAGACACATTTAAAAAAAGACTGAAATACAAACTTTTTGTAGACGCCTTCAAGAGCACAAAGTAAACTTTCTCAGTGCTTCTGAATTACTTCGTCACTATTGTGATTGTTGTAAATGATGGCACTTTAATCTCTAACTGTTATATTATTATTATTATTATAAATACGTATATATATAATAATAATAGACAGAAAATGAAAAGTTTATCTAAAATGCTTGAATAAACTATTCTTGTTCAGAAAAATGAATCAAAATATAAATTATGCATTTATTTTATTCATATAATGCTATATGCTTTATGTCATATGATGAAGTATTTAATGAAAACGTTCGAAATTTAAAAATAAAGTAATAATTATACGCAAAAATTAAATTCATTTACTTGACAAAAAAAATGTTTGTTTTTATGCTCTCATTATGTATTAACTATCAATATTGTGAAGGTAATATTTATAAATAGATATTTATGTTTATATACTTTTTATTTAAACATTTTATTTAACCATTTTACAAGGTTTCAAAGACAGTTTAAAAAATATAAAAGTATAAAATTCGATTAAAAAATGCACAACACAACAATATATATCACAATTTTGCGCTTATTATTGTATTATTTCCCTTTTTTTAATTTTTATACGTAATATATATATATATATATATATATATATATATATATATATATATATATATATATATATATATACAGTAAAAAAGTATTTTAGCAAGCTACTTAAAATATTAAGGTTTATATTATTAATGTTAAACAAAACAATATGTATACATAACGCTATACTATAAAAATTAATTATAAACATATTCAACTTTAATGAAAATTTGTAACATGATACAATGATAGAATAAATTTAGTTATTCAACGTTTTGATGGTGTCACGGTAGAATAAGGCCCGTAAAATTAAAAATCAAGTTTATTCAGGATATTTTTGAGTTTAAATTTCCTAAAAAATAGAGAGTAGAACGGCAAATTAGGACTTTAATAATTCCTTAAAATTGAAAGATTGTTCCGCTACTAGTCAATATCTCTAAGCAGGGCCGGCGCGAGTAGGTGTCACGTGAGGGGGGGGGGGTGCCATTACAACATTTGCCGATTAAAAAAAGATAAAGAAAAAAGTCCTCGTTTTCCAAAGTTTGCCGACTGCCATGACGACATTTGCCGACTGTCTAACCTATATTGAAAGGGTCGACATTTGCCGACTAACTAGTCTAAAAGGGTCCTATTTGCCGACTAAAGGTACAGTTTGCCGACTAAAAATCATTGATGGAGGGGTGTGATACCCCCCTCCGCCCTCCACCCCCTATTGCGCCGACCTTGTGTCCAAGAGAAATTATTACTTATAGAACATCCAATTTCAAATAATCGATTTCAAAAAATCGATTTTTTTGTAAGCGATTTTTTATCAAAAGGTTGTTAAACCTATGATAACCATATTATTATAGAATTGCAGAAGTGTCGGGTGATGATGCTTTTTTTAACATGTTTCTTCTTATTTTTCATTCAACGCAAATTTTTTCTTTAATAAACGTTTGAAGTTTAACTCAAAGGAGTATAAAATATTAAAGTGTTTAATATTTTAAAATAATACATAAAGTGAAATTAAGATACGTCACTACAGAATTTTAATGAAATAAATTGAGTTGCAAGTGCACGATTTTGTTCAGAATGAGAGACACTTGTTGGGAATTTTTGGAAAAAAATTTAATAAGTGTGTAACTATAAGGAAAAAATATAATTACATAAGTAAACAAGTAGTAAATGATATCTTGAAGTTTTAAAATAATTATATGGTTTCATACATCATAATATCTACAAATTTTCGATTCCTAAAAACTTTTAAAAATTGTTAAATGATTTGATATAATTCTTAACAAGTTATTAAATAATTTTTATAAATTTTGTAAATTTGATAGTTTTATAAATTTAAAATAAGTTTAAAAAACTTGAAATTCCTTGGTAAATTTAAAAAAATTAATGAGAATGCTTAAGAAATTTATTTCTTACACTTTCGCTTTCAATTTTAAATAACAAATTCACAATCTGTGTTTCCGCCATGTTTTATTTTATTAAACATTGAATTTTGATTAGGAAATTGTTTACTCTACTTAAACGCTTGTGTTTTTATGTTTGAAAGAATACCACTTATCCAACTCAAATTCAACCATCTACAAATTCATAAAATGGATTTCAAAATTCCATTTCTATTTCAATTTATGAAATGGAATGAATTTGAAATAGATGTTAGGGATTTAGATTACTGACTATCTTTTCCAGAAATATTGGCTAAACGTTTGCCCTATTCGTTTTCTCTTTTGAAAATACATCTTATATTTTTGCAGAAAATGTGGCTTTACATTCAAAAAATGAAATTATTATTGATAACAATTTTTAATAGATTTACAGCAGATTTTTTTTAAATTGTCATTTGTTATGGGGTAATGTTTCTAGAAGAGACGGAAAAACAAATTTCAATGCACCCATTCTATCATTTAAATTATTTAGAGATAAATATTTTTACAAGGTAACTTTCTGAGTTTTAACTACTTTATTTAGAGTTGTAAATATGAAAAATGTGGTTAAAAAAAAAATATATATAATAAGTCAAGAGTCTTGCTAATTACACAAGAGTCCTGGCTTATTAAAAGATATTTATTAATTAATTTAAACTAGAAATGTTTCTTTTGTGAAATTCTACATTAAGTAATTGACCAAGTAATTTTTTTAGTATTTTTTAATAAAAACTTTTAATTCTTATTTAGTATAGTCGGAAAACATTTAAAAGTTGTTTCTTATGTCTAATAATAAATTTTCAAAGCATTTTCAGCGGGCTTATTAATTATCAGCCAACTATTGTGCCCAATAAGCAGCAATTATTTTTAAAATTTTTAAGTCAACTAATTATTTATGAACTAAATTCTTTTTTATGTAGTTAATGCAATGTCAGTTATGTATGCAATTTTATTTGCCAATGAAAAACCTTTTTCCTGAAGTATACAACACAAATTGAATTTATTTATATGCTGAGTCTTCAAATGAATCTTCATAAAAATCAAATATTTTGTAAAATATAACTCTAAAATATTGCAATACTGTATTACAACTGAATAAATCTTGTAGTTTCAATTGTTTGATGCCTTTAGTAAAGTTGACTATAGCAGATCATTCAATACTAGTTTAAACAAATATGGGTAAAAAATGTTGTTTAATAAAACAGATGTTTTTAAATTAATATGTTTTATAATTTTTATATTTTTGAGCTACATAAAGCTACAAACACTTAATCTCTTATCTCGAATCTCATAACCTACTTTCTCATCATCATTTCGATCTTCTCGTTCTATGACTGATTTGCTGTCAGTAATAACTGATAGGTTTTATCGCACATAAAATAAAGGTGGAGAGGTTAAAGCCATTGCTCTTGACATTTCTAAAGTGTTTAATAAAGTTTGGCATGCTGGTTTTCTCCATAAGCTTTCTTCTTAAGGTGTATCTGGAAACATCTTTAAGGTTATTGAATCCTTCCTTTCCAATCGTAGTAGGAAAGTTGTCCTTGATGGACAGCACTCTTTTTTTTGTTCTGTAACCTCAGGGGTTCCTCAAGGTTCAACCCTTGGCCCTATACTCTTTTTAATTTACATTAACAATCTTCCAGATATTCTCACATCTAAGGTGGCATTGTTCGCTGATGATACTACCATTTATTCTTGTCACGATAAGAAGCCAACTCCCTCTGATTGCTTGTAGGGGGTATCTGAGCTTGAAAAGGATCTCACTTCTGCTACAGCAGAAGATAACATACTGTTGCCATATCTACGTACCACGATTTACAACAAAAACAAATTAGTAGCTTCCTCGACTGTAGTGGCCTGCTCGGGCTTTGAGGAGGTAATTAATATATATCTGGGGTGGATCTTCTTATGACGCCCTTTCTCTTTTAGACAAGGTGCAAAAACGCATTGTAAACATAGTTGGACCTGCTCTTGCAGCCAACCTTCAACCTCTGTCACATCGTCATAATGTTGCTTCTCTTTCTCTTTTCTACAAATACTATAATGGGCACTGCTCTAAAGAGCTAGCGTCTCTTGTGCCATCTACTAAAATTCATTCTTGTGTTACACGTCATTAAATTAAGTCTCCTTTTTCTATTACTGTTCCTAAGTGCTCCAAAAACTCTTACTCATCTAGTTTTTTTCCTCGAACATCAGTTATTTGAAATTCGCTTCCTTCATCTTGCTTTCCTGATTCATATAATTTGCAATCTTTTAAGGTGTCTGTCAAGCGTTGTTTTGCTCTTCAATCTTCATCTTTTCTCTTCCAGTAACTTCTAACACTAATTAGTGGTTGCTTGCAGCTTTGTTGGAAGCAAAGATGTTAAAAAAAACAACAACTAATATATGTTTTGTATATATATATATATATATATATATATATATATATATATATATATATATATACAACTACAACTAGTAGTTATACAAAAACAACTAGTATATATATATATATATATATATAATGTATATATATATATATATATATATATATAATATATATATATATATATATATATATGTATATATATATATATATACATATATATATATATATATATATATATATATATATATATATATATATATATATATATATAAATATATATTTATATATTAGAATGGATCATAAAATTTTTTTTTAGAGTTGCTAACCTGGCTATGGTCTAGAAAGTTTTTTTTTTATGTACTAATTTAGGAATGTATTTACTTTTATGGATTGAACAATGTCTACCACCCGCAACTATAATTACAAAAATTAGCAGGCCCTATTATTATTCAAAAAAAAAACTTTTCAAAATTATGTGATGTAGGTACTCAAATAAAGCAAAATTTTATAAAAGTTTCAAAAATAATAATTTTTTTATATAAAAGTTGTTTTAGATTTTATTGCATAATAAATATTGATTTTTAACTAAAAGTGAAAAAGGTGCATTTTTATATATTTTTTAATAACAATTTCTTTCTGCAATATGATTTTTAAAAAACGATTATTATTTTTTAATTTTTAAAAAAATTTCGCTTTTTTTGAGTACCAGGTTGACCTACTTTTGAAAAACTTTTTTTCACTAATATATAAGGGTACTGTTAATTTTCCCAATAAAGTTGTGCCCTTTAAATCTATCACAATCATTCTCATGTTTGATAGTATCAATATTAATAACTATTAGCAATGTTTAGAGCCTGTAACAAGAAAAAAAAAATTATGACCCACCCGAATATATATATATATATATATATATATATATATATATATATATATATATATATATATATATATATATATATATATATATATATATATATATATTACATGGGCAATTCCATGTTCGTGGCAGTCATAATATTTGACTTGCTTTAAGTTATTGAAAATAAATCAGAAACAGAAATGACTTGAAACTTTCAAGAACTGTAAAATACTGTTATATAATTTTGTATGTAAAAGTTGCACAGCATTGAAGTCTTCAAGTTTTTTTATAATTTAACTCAAAGTAGAGTGACGGTTGTAACTCTTACTTTTTATTACTTCTGAACAAAACAAATTTGTCAGACCTAGTGCTGCGTACGGGATAGTGAAAAAAAAATCCTTTAATGTGTGTGTTTATTTTATGCTTATTCATCATAGTTTCTTAGTTTTCATATATATATATATATATATATATATATATAATATATATATATATATATATATATATATATATATATATATATATATATATATATATATATATATATATATATATAGATATGTATATATATATATATATATATATATATATATATATATATATATATATCTTTAGGAAATATAAAAGAGATGTTATTAACTTTTTGAAAAAATTGATGTTTTTTCTCATTTTCTTAAGCATTCTCAAATATTGCAGTTAGTTCATATCTAAATGAGAACATACAAATAGCTGTTATTGGATGGTCAAAAATATCATCTTGGTCTGTTTCAGCTGGGTTTGGTCACTTTACTTCATCAAGCATATTCAATACATCAGATTTTAAAGTATCACAATCTGGGATATACCAAGTGTTTACTACAATAACTTTTTCTGGTGCTCAAAATGGTGTTTTTAAAGTAGCATTAGTTAGTAATAATGACTTAGTTAACAGTCACCCTGGCCTTTCCAGCTCTTTTCAAGATTCAGTTGGATACAAAAGTTTATCAGTATATGGAACAACTCGCTTGTTCTCTGGTGATGTTGTATCAGTTTATGTATTTTCTGAGTTAGACCAAAGTTGGATAATTCGGGGAGGTTCTGAATCAACATTTTGTATACAATTTGTTAGCTTTTACAACCAAGCTCCTGGTTTTTCTTCATATTTGACTCAAGAATATTACATAGAAAACAATGATTGGAATAGTATTTTAAAATGGAATGCTAAAGATAAGCCTGGCTTGTTTAAGAGCAGAACTGGGTTTTCTCAAGATGTTGGAAAGTTTGTATCTATTTGTGATGGTATTTATCAGTTTTCAGCAAATATTCTAATTTCTGCTTCTAAGAGTGGTCATTATGATATTGGTATTCTATTAAATGGGGTACCAGATGGTAGCATTACTGGAGCTGATATTGGGTCAGATCCACAGAGTTTGTTATTTTCTCTTAGTATGTCTATATCATTAAAGTTAAGTATCGGAGATTCAGTGGTCATCGTAAGCAGAGGCACAGAGAGCTATATTGTTAAAATGCAAAGTGGCTTTTTTGGAATATTGGTAAATGAAGGTGAATCAACACCAGGTAATTTTTTTTTCGATTTTTAAACATGATGTTGGCAGGTGCACACCCAAAACATGCATACATTTACTCTTATATATGATCTTGTTTAATTGAAGTCAACTATTTGTATCATGTAACTTAAAGAGCTTCTTAAATATTACTTTGATCATTATTTATTGATAATTCTATTACAAGTAGGAGAATCACTTAACTTGTTGCATAAATCAACTATTAGGATCTCATAGGTGATTGATGCAAAAGTGTTGCACTAAAATTATTAACTGATAATACAATGTTATTAAATCATAACTTATAAAAATCTTATGTAACAACTTTATAAAGTTTTTATATTATGGTAATTAATGTGTTTACATATTATGTCTTTTTTCATAACATATTTTTTATGTTTCAATTGTTCTTATATATTACAAATGTACTTTTTCATAACATAAATTTTATGTTTCAATTGTTCTTATATATTACAAATGCACTATATTACAAATGCACAGGAATTTCAAGTATACTTACAGCGCCAATTGTTGATTATGGAGGATCATGGTTGACCATTCCTATACCAATTCCGACATCTGGTTATGGACAATTTCAAATGCCTAGCAACAGTGTAAAAAGTAATGGAAGGTGAGTTATCATAAAATCTTAGAAGGTGATATATGCATGTTTGCTATAATGTTTGCACTTCTGCAGATTTTAGTTGGTTTTTTCTTAATATATTTTGCACACTTAAGTTTTTAAAAGGCAAGGCAGGTTTTTAATCAAAGAAGATAAATATAGGAAACTTTTTGAGTATTAAATGTTCTTAGTATAAAGATTATCTAACCAAATCTGAACTCTCAATCAATATATGTATATACTATTACCCTTGCAGATGGTTATATTCCTAATGAACTTATTAGTGACATAGGGGCAGCTAAATTTACATTTGTTTTTGTATATATTTATACAGGCTTCAGCAGGAGTAAATGAATGCGAGAACAACAAAAAGCTCTCCTAAAACAAACATGGTGAGCCATGCCAGCTGCTCCCCTAAACAATTTCTCAGGAGAGCTTTGGCTCTTTGCAGGAGCTATTTGCTCATGCATTAAAAAATTAATTATTAAATACAAAATTTTGGTTTTATATTTGTTACAAGCCCATGGCACAACAAATCGTTTTTTTTTAATGAATGTTGACATTCGTATCTTTATGTAATGAGGAACATGTAGTTTAAGAGAATAATTAATTTTATTCTAGTTAATAAGTTATTAGATATGTCAACAATGCTTATTGAATTTAATTAATTTTTATTTCATCAAAAAAATTTTTTACAAATTTGCAAAGTGCACCCAAATTAATGATATATAATATGCAATGACAGATTGCAAATTGTAATCCATTGATATTAAATAATGAATTTCTCTCAACTTAATTTGCTAAATTTGTTTACAAATAAAAAGACGTAAAACTTGAAGAAATGAAAATAAAAGGAGCTAAAAATGAAATAAAAGTTGTTTTGACATCTCTTTTTTAAAACTTTAAAAGATAATATCATACTAAATATTTAATTATAAGTTAATAAAAACATTATATTATTGGCGTTGTTAAACGCACAAAAGTTAATAAAAACTATAATAAAATTATAAAATTATAAATTAATTCAAGTTTAAAAATTTGTTTCAAACATTTAAAAGTTTTTTTGATATGCAAAAAAACATTGCTTTTCTTTGAGGAAAATAAGAAAATTTAAAAAAAGCATGCTATCAAAAAAGCAATCATAAATTTTAAGCATACTGCTGTTGATAGATTTAATTAATTATAGTAAATTTGCAATTACTTAAAAAGTAACTATTACTTTTATAGTAATTGCAAATTTCATTTCAGTTAAAACTTTACATGCTTTTGTTAATGTATGCAAAAACCATATTAAAAAATAATTACTTTCTTTGATAGCATCCTTAGTGTGGGCAAGAAGTGTTTATATATATATATATATATATATATATATATATATATATATATATATATATATATATATATATATATATATATATATATATATATATATATATATATATATATTTCATATATATATGTATATATATATATATATATATATATATATATATATACATACATATATATATATATATATATATATATATATATATATATATAAATATATATATATATATATATATATATATATATATATATATATATATATATATATATGATATGATATATATATATATATATATGAATATATATATATATATGTGCATAAAAATATATGTGTATGTGTGTGTGCATGTATAGCATATTTTTTTTTTTTAGGTTTTCATTTACTCAAACACAAATTTTTATAATCAGTGCAATAATCAATGTTCAAACATCATCTTCATCATTATCTTTGATACTTTCTCTGCAAAATGATCCATCAACATTTTCTAACCAAAGAACAGGATTGTTTACAACTAACATAAGAACATCAAAAAATTCAAGTTACAGTATTGCAGGTATCCTTGAGTTACAAGCTGGCCAACCTCTTTTCATATATTTATATCTTACATCACCAGGAACTTATTCCATACAACCTGGAAGTCGAGTCTGTGTTGCTGCAGTTCAACAAGAGTATGAATCTTTTAATGTAATCGTTCCTTCTTCTGTAAGTAATTAGAAATCTTTGTTGCTTTTATGATTTTTTATAAACAGAATTATTGTCTATATAATCTATATTTAATTATTGTCTATATAAAATTGTTTACTTACGATGGCAATTTTGCTATTTCATTTTGTTAAAACCATTACCCTTAAGTTATACTAATTGCAGAAGTGCATAAAATTTTATCCTTATTTTAAAGACTTTAAAAAACAAATATATAAAAAGATGTTTTCTTACATTAATATTTACATATTTTTTTTTCCTTTTATCTCCTTATTTTTGTTTTTATGCAGTGTACATGCATTAAATAAAATAGCTGACAAGCACATAGTAATACATTGTACATACTAAGTGTTTGTTTATCTTTTAATTAAAAAAAAGATAAAAAAAACGTAATTAATTCAACAAAATGAATATATGTATATATAAAAAACGTAATTAATTCAACAAAATGAATATATGTATATATAATTCCTCTCCAGGAAGTTTGTGCAGTTTTACTCTTTGTTTGTCCGAGCATAAAGACAAAGTTTTTACTTTAAACAACTTGACCAGGGCTGTTTGCATGTATTAAGATATTAGGCGACTGTTTCTATGGAGTAGCGAATATAATCAAATATCATATATTTTAATGATTGTATTAATGATTTATTTTTATTTTTACATTAGAAACTTAATACATCAAAAGTACAAAAATATATTTTAAAAACATGTAAATAAAGGAAATATTTTTGCTAAATATGTATCAGTTTTTTTTTGACTTCCATCAAACCTCATTACTGAAAATAACAACCACCATTAAAACACAAAAATACAAACAATCTAAAATTATGTAATTTATTTTCCTTTTTTTTCTATGAAGTTTTGTTTATTCTGCATTTTTTTTATTCTCATTTTTTGTTAAGTTTAGTTTATTCTGCATTTTTGTTTATTCTCAAACGGCAGTGGTCAAGTTATCTAAACTAAACACTTTATGCAAGGACAAACAAGGTGTAAAACTACACACACTTCCTGGGAAGAACTGTATGTATATATATATATAAATATATATATATATATATATATAGTTGGTATATACATATAGTTGGTATATACATATATATATATATATATATATATATATATATATATATATATATATATAATATATATATATATATATATATATATATATATATATATATATATATATATAAATATAAATATAAATATAAATATATATATATATAAATGTATATATATATATATATATATATATATATATATATATATAATATATATATATATATATATATATATATATATATATTTGCATTGTCAAATGCTGTCTTAATTCCAAAGGATGTATATATATTAGGGTGTTTCAAAAAAAAGGTCATGTCTCTAAAATAAAGAGCCCTAGCATATCATCTGCCCAAATCGTGGTTTGGTACTAAAAAATTTTTAATTTTTCAATTTTTGAAAATCGTAAGGGTTCCTTCAGGGGGTAAAAGGGGCAATTTTTAGGGCGTTTTGCACCATTTTTAAAACTGTTTAAAGTTTTGACATTAAAATTTTCCATTTTTTTTTTATATTTATGCTTGTTAAGATTTATTTAATCTAAATAAAATGCTCAACTCTTAACAAAAAATAAAAAAAAATTGTTTCAAGAAACCCTCAAATCCAAATATTTAGGAAAGCTCATAAAAATACAAAATGTTCTTAAAATTTTCTTGAAGCACATAAAAGTACATTATTTTTTTATTTATTTTTGATACAATACAATATTTATTTCTCACTTATAATCAGCTTCAGGAACTATTCTAGTAAATATATAAAAGAGAGAGCCTGGACAGGGAAAGAAGGTACTAAAAAAAAAAAAAAGTAAATTATAAAAAATTTCATTTCAATAGTAAAGTTTCATTTAAATTAAAATACAGCAAATCCAGTAAATTTATGAATTTTTTTATTCTTTCTCAAAGAAGTGATATTAACAAAAAAAAAAGATACTAGACTATATTTATATTTGTACTAGTGGCTTTTTTGTAATCCATTTTGTTCTTACCGTTGCTGTTTTTCTTGTAACTTTTTGTAAAGAGAAAGGTATCCGGCCTTTTTTACTTCAAAATATGCTCTATTTATTAGGTCTTGAACTAACTAGAACTCACCTCTCAGAACTGCTCTCTGAGAACAGTCATTAATAACATCAAGTCCCTTAACTGTTGCCCTAAGGTCTAGATAAAAATCATTGAATTTCCAAAACTCTTGTTTAGTCTTCATCCATTGAATTTCTGCCTTTTCATGCCTGAGCATGCCAAAAACTAGACACAACTTTTCTGTTATTAATGTAGTCAAAATAGGAGGCTTATCTTTACTGAAGTTGAGGCTATTTAAAATAGCTTGGTCCATTACCTGGCGCTTCATAGGAAAACTGTCACTTGGACATCTTTGTTAACTATACAGTTTTTTGGCCATATCACCACATTTCCTACATTCTTTATCTGCTAGAGCAAAAATTACTAAAGAAGGATCTAGATACCAAGTATGTCTGGTTCTGGTATATGAAATTCAAACCTATTTGATGATAGAACCATTAAAGTAAGTTCAGATTATATATCCATGTTCCAGGTGGTTCTTTTTAGTTCCTTAGAAAATAAAAATCGTTGAATTTCCAAAATTCTTGTGGAGTCTTCATCCATTGAATTTCTGCCTTTCCATGCCTGAGCATGCCAAAAACAAATGAATAAAGCCATACCAATTTTTTTTTCTTTATGTTTTTCAGTCATGTTTTGGATTTCATTCATTAAAAGATTTTTAGTAGTATAAACCTTTTCTCATAAATCTTAAATGGTGAACTGGTTCTGGTGTATGAAATTCAAACCTATTTGATGATAGAACCATTAAAGTAAGTTCAGATTATATATCCATGTTCCAGGTGGTTCTTTTCAGTTCTTTAGTTTCAACATGGATTCCAGTTTTGTTTTAGAACTTCGAATAGTTTCTTTTGTTGGTTTTAGTTGGTTTTCTGGACCAGAAGTTTTGCTGCTTGGGTAAATCTTCTAGAAATGGGCTATATGTCGCTCAATTACATGTCTACATGCAATCAACAACAAGGGACGTTGAACTTGTTGAATTATTTTCCAGCAAGTACTTTGCCTTTTTCCTGTATTTACTGAAGTTGTGTCAAAACAGAGACATTTAACCTTATGTTTTAATCCAAAAAATTTCATCAATTCTACAATAGCTTGCTTTTGATTAACCCCTGAACAAGAATCTATCGGAGGAATGCTAAGTAGTTCTGTTTTCACATCAATCCTTACCAAAACTGCAATTCTATCTTTTTTAAATTGCTTTCCCCATTGTTAATTGATTAATAATTTTTACATCAAAGTGTATAGTCATTAGTGAATCTGCTGATATTACAGTATTTTTTATGAGTTCTTTAATTTTTTTAGCCCTGACAGATATTATTTTTTTTGCAGTTCTATAAGATGTGGATTTAGAACAATTAAACTTTGCTATAGAACCACCAGCCATGACAATAACACTTGTAATCAATGCTGTATGAGCAGTTGACTGAAGAATATTTTTAGGAAGAAAAACAGAATTTTGAATATTAAAATGCGTATTAAAATCGAAGTCAACATCTGTTTCCTTGTCTAATTTGTTGCTAGTGTAACTAGAAGAAACTTTGATTATCTAAATCATTCTTATATAATTCTGCTGACGGATTTCTATTTAACTTTGATGTGCATCTTTTACTTCTTACTACAGAACACTCATATCTTTTATCTCTATCTCCAAGACATTATTTTTTTTCACTAAGCTAGTCTTTTAAGAAAGCCATATCTTCCTCTTTGTCTTTCACTTTTCTCATTTTATCTTTTAATATTTCTTCAAACATAACATGAGGATGTTCTCCAATCCAAAATACCTTTTCTTCATTTATATTTATATATATATATATAGTATGTATATATATATATATATATATATATATATATATATATATATATATATATATATATATATATATATATATATATATATATATATATATATATATATATATATATATATATATATATATAATATATATATATATATATATATATATATATATATATATATATATATATATATATATATATATATATATATATAAATATTGTCTGATGAGTCTTTATTGATGAAACACAGTGTTTAATGTGAAAAAATTTTGCTAAGTGATTTTCTACTAATTTGTAATTGCTCTGTTCTTTTAAGAACATTGAGCACTCTTTTTGTAGAATACATTTAAATTGTTTAAATATATATATATATATATATATATATATATATATATATATATATATATATATATATATATATATATATATATATATATATATATATATATATATATATATATATATAGATATATATATATATATATATATATATATATATATATATATATATATATACATGTTGATTAAACTATTATCTGTATTTTAAATTAGTTTAACTTCAAATATTTTTATCAAAAGGTTTATCAAACAAAAAGTAACGATTGGGTAGTTATTGACACATGGTCTGAAAGTCAGAAGAGTGACTCGTTTGTTTTTACTGAAAAATTAGTTTCTGGTAAGTATACTGCTATGGCAACAGGGATCTATTATTTGTCTGCTAATGTTATTTTTAAAGACAGCAATGGACCAATTTATATTATGATAGCTGTCAATAGTCAGTTATCAAAACGAACTGCTTTATATGCAACAAAAGGAAAACCATCAGTAGTTCAAGACAGTCTTAGTGTGTCTGGAGCCTTATTTATTAAAAAAGGTATAGTTATTTATTCATTGTTTGTTTTACTTTTTAGTTTATCATATTAGCTTTTCAATTTTTGTTAAATGCAATATTTATTGAAAAATATTTATTAATAAATCTGATTGCATGACATTAATTAGTTGTTATTGTCTGGTGCAATTGAGTTAATACTGACATCAGTTGCCAGATGTTCATAAGGTTAATGCTGATATTTTCTTTAGATTCTTATGTTAATGTTTATGTTATGATTGAAAATGATAATAGCTGGTCCATAGATATTGATTCAACTTTTTCAATGGTGTTTCTTGGGTATCAGACAAATATTTTTGGTGTAACAACAGTTCTCACAAATAGTTTAGCTTACACTACATCTGGTTGGTTTAAGATTGGAAAATGGAAATCTCAAACTGCAGCAGGTCCATTTTTTGATTTTGGGGGAGGATTTAATCCAGACACTGGAGAGTAAGTAGCTAAAAATGTATATTTTTTTTTTTTTACTTTTGTTTTTAGATTAATTATACTTGTATTTTTATTTCTTTTTCAGTTTTGTTGCTCCTAAAGCAGGTTTTTACATTGTGAGTGCTGGAATAAAAATGGTTCAGGCAAGTGCAGTTGGTTCTACCTTTACTTTAAATGTTGCTGTTAATGGAAATCCATCTACTTTACAATACCAAAATGGAATACAAGATTATCTTCAAAATGGTAATGTTGCACCTACTACAAAGTAAATACCTTTCTTGTGGTTTTGTTTTATTTATTGTTAAAATATTTTGAAAAAGCAAAGTTTAAATTATAAATTTTTTATGTACTTGTTACTAATAGGTACTAATAATTTTATTTTATCAGTTTTTAGTAAATTATGTTTTACTATTTAGTTTTTAGTAAGTTCTAATGTCTTCTATATTAGTTTTTAGTAAATTATAATGCTTTATCATTTAGTTTGTATACTATACTTTTTTTGGTCTTTTAAATAGTGATTTTTACTCATTGGTTGTGTCTGGTTTGGTATTAGTTAATGCAGGTGACAGCATTGCACTTTATATTCAATCTGTTGCTGATCCATCTTATACAATAAGTCAAGACAGCTTTATGTCAATCGTTTTTATTAGCTCTACTAATGATTTATATTCATCTGGAATGCAGTTAATGCTAGATCCAACACTTGATCAACAGCAGAGCGCTTCTGATTGGTCTAAAGTTAAATATTGGCAGAGCAACCGGGTGAGGACTGCAACTGGTGTTTTCAGCAGTGGTAAGTTTTCTTTTTCTTTTTTAAATTTTTTTAAATGAAAGAGTGAAAAAATTATTATTTTAATTTTAATTTAAATTATTATTATAGTTTTTTTAATTCATTTTTAAAAAAATTTAAATATTTTGTGTTTAGTAAATAAAAACTAAATATTTTGTGTTTAGGAAATCTTCTAAAACTAGATTCAGTCATGGGTACAGTAACTGTTCAAGAGACAGGAATTTATTATATTTTTGTAAATCTTGCTATTGCTCCTGATTTGAATAATTATCAAATAGGTTTTTTTTATTTAATTTTTTAAAAGTCAATATAAATCTGTAGTTTTTAAAATTACCAATGATTTATTAACTAAAACTATTAAATATTGGTAATATAAAAATTGGTAATACTACTTTCATAATATAAAGTTTATTTCTTCTATTTTAAAAATTTTTTATAATGGTAATAAATAATTAAATTAAAAATTTTAATAGCTGTTTTCACAACATTAACGTCTGTCACATCACTAATAACAAGATTTAGTGATAAAGATCATCCTCAATACACAATGAAGATTTACGGTGCTTTATACCTGTATAAAGGTCAGGAGCTATCGATTAGGGTATTCTTAAATTCTTTTTAGTTATTATTTCTGGTTTATTCATTCATTTTTAATAAAATTAATAACTTGACATTGTTTTTTTTTAATATTTAAATACTAAACTTTTTATGACTTGTGTTTATTCACTTTTTAAATAAATTAAACATGTTTTGATTTTTTTTTTACATATTATCTAATTGTTTAATTTTGATGTTACCTAATTGTTTTATTTACTTTAGGTTAAACCCTCAGCTTCAAATGCACAATGGGAAAATCTCCGCTCTTACAGTGGCTGGTCATTTTTCAGAATACCACCTTATTTGCCAATTCCGTCTGTTGGAACAGGCAAACCTATTGATTTACTTCCATTTATAAAACCTGGGTAAAAAAGTTTTTTATTTTACTGTTATTAATTTATAAATTTATATGGTTATATATAATACACATAATGTTATAAATTTGTTTTAATAAATTTGTTTTTTATAAAATCTATATTATCTGTTGTTAATTTTAAATGTTTTAAGTTAATTTAATTAAATTCTAAGTTATGTTAATAATTTTCAACACTGTCCCTGCATAAGAATGGCTTGATAAGGTTACATTATACTCTAAGCATGCAAAAGCCAATAATCTTTAAAACTGTAATATGTTTTCATAAAATTATAAAGTTATTAGATATTTTTGTAAATAATTCAATTTTTACTCAGTATTACTTAGCATATAACTTAACCAATCCCTGTTGTTGTTATTTTAAAAGAAGTTATTATTTTTTAGGTATTATACAAGACTAAGAAATTGGAATGTTATAATGTCTACTGTTCTTGGTGTTGATGGAGAAGGTCTTAACCAAAGGGATGGAGTATATACTGTTTTTTTAGATGGAGTGTATTTAGTATCAAGTACTTTAGTTATTAAAACAAACGAAAGTCAAATTTCCATTGGGTTTGATATTTTTTTTTTGTTCTTTATATTTTTTTGTTTAACAGATTTCTGTTGATGAATCCAAAAATTAAGAAATATGAAATCTAACTAAAAAGATAAAGAAAACTTTGTACAATAGTTTATTAAAGGATGGATAAAGAAAAAAAAGATAACAGAGATAAATAAAAGTATGATGATTAATGTAAGAATTAATATAATATAAAAAAAGATAGATAGGAGTGTTGAATAAAAAAGCCTTGATAAATAAAAGAGGTAAAGAAAAGAGATATGAAAGAGATGAATAAAATAAGAAGTTGAAGAAGGCTTCACCAGCTTGACTTTAAATAGTTCTATTAAATTGAATTGAAAGGCTTTTTGTACTTGAGATGTTACAATTTTCTAGGAGTTTAGATATTTGTTGTTTCCATTTTTTTGACTGTTGGATGAAAATTTGGATTTTTGAGGTCAAAGAATAATTACCACGACTACTGTTTTTATAAATAAAATAATGATGCATTATAGATTTAAAATAACTTTCTATTAAATTTTTTTTTCTTTAAGAATAAAGATTGGTATCAATGCAGACTTAAGTGATTTTTCAGTGGTTAAATCTGGTATTGGTCCTTCATATTTATATCCTGTATGTTCTGGTATTTGTACTATTTCAATAACACAAGCAGTGCAACTTTTAGTTGGTCACACTGTTGCAATTTTTGTCCAATCAAATGCATTGACAACATATTTTTCTGAGTTAAGCGTATTTAGTCTAAAGCTTATTAACCCTCTGAGATCTTTAGACGGTTTCTCATGTCAGTTATCATCTGAAATACTGATAAGTTCTTCAGGAGATCAAAAAATAGTGGGATGGTCTGCTGTAGAGTCAATACATTACACAAACTTTACCCAAGCGAATGAATATATTATTTCTAAAGGTGGTGTATATTTAGCTGCATTTAATATGGATCTTATAAATGTTTATGGCTTTGTCAGTATTAAACAAAGTTTGGGTACATCTTTAATTAACCTTTTTGAGTACTACAATGAAGGTTTGTTACCATTTAGTCTATCATCTACTACTGTGGTTTCTTTAAATGTTGGAGATGTGTACTCATTAAAAATTAATACTTTGACTGATAATTCGTATTCTATTGGTAAGCCGTCATCAACTTCGTTAACATTCATTGGCGATGATACTTATGGATTTTCTGCAGTGCAGTCTAGAATTAATAGTAATTTTTACAATCAAAGCAAATGGTATCCCATTAATGGCTGGATTACAAATGGAAGTTCTTGGTTATTTGAATATGGTCGGGGGTTTCTTTCTAGACAAGATTATATTGTTGAAAAATCTGGATTTTACTTTATTACAGCAAATATAATATTTGATAAAGCTCAATATGAAAACATTTTGGAAATGGTTGTTGTTCTTAATAAAGTTGACACAGTTTTGTATGATCAAAAAATACTATCTTTAAAATCATCCACAACATCAACGGTTCGTGGAGGAGTTTTTTTAAACAATTTAGATTATTTACAACTTCTAATAAGACTTAATACTAACAATGATAATTTAATAATCAAAAGAGAGTCATCATTTTCAATTGTTCGAATCGGTAAGTACAAACTTTTATGTTAAATTTTTTTTGTTTGAGTAGGTAAGTTTTATGTCAAAAATAAATTTCACTTTTCTTTGACACAGAAAAGTGTATAAAGGTGACATAAAAACAATTTAATATTTTTAAAACAATTATAAAATCTCATGACCCTGTTATTATGTTATTTATGTGTATATATATATATATACATAAATATATATACTCTTGCATGTCTCTTGCGTGGCATCAAAAAATGTTTCCCATAAACTGTAGTTTTAAAGAGCGCGTTAATAAACTAGACCAGAAAAAGTTTTAAAAATTAAATTTTTTTTTTTAATTGATAGACTGCCTGGCCAAACCAAACCCTCAGTCGATGTAGCAGCACTCTTGCGAGTCAGGCTATTTGTCAGTCGTTGTAGCAGCACTCCCTTGCGAGTCAGGCTATTTGTCAGTCGATGTAGCAGCATTCCCTTGCGAGTCAGGCTATTTGTCAGTCGATGTAGCAGTACTCCGTTGCGAGTCAGGCTATTTGTCAGTCGATGTAGCAGCACTCCGTTGCAAGTCAGGCTATTTGTCAGTCGATGTAGCAGCACTCCGTTGCGAGTCAGGCTATAAGATAGTCGATGTAGCAACATTTACGCATGTTTTAAAAATGTTTTTTATTAAATCAATAACAAAAACACCACTAATTAAAAAAAACTTTCTAGTTGTTATAATTGCGGTTTTTTAAAAATTTTTTAAAAAACAATTAAATTTAATGTACTTCCGCATAAATTAATTGCTTTGACATTTGGATGACAATCAAAAACAGCTTAAGAGACGAGGTAATTAAAATTGTAGTCGTAAGAGACTTTTTTTACATTAAAACGCTCTTAAAGCTACACTATATGGGTATATATATATATATATATATATATATATATATATATATATATATATATATATATATATATATATATATATATATATATATATATATATTTATGTATATATATATATATATATATATATATATATATATATATATATATATATATATATATATATATATACACACTTGTATGTACAAAATTTGCCTAATAAAGAAAAAATTGTTTCAGGATTTGATACCCTTTCAACAACTTGTGTTGATAATGGACCTAATATTCTTGAAAATCTGTCTCACAAAAATGCGCGACTGAGTCAGGGTGATAACTTGAATTTGGAAATTTCTGCTACTGGAAGTAATTTGACTTATCAATGGCTGAAAAACTTTGAGGTAAATAATTTTTTAAAGTTATGCTTTTGAATGCCATTTCCCTCCCCCCCCAAAAAAAAAATATGCAAAATGAAATATTTTATGTTTATTCCAATCAATTTGCTTTTTAATGGCAATTCTCTAGGTCAGGTCAGGAGTATGGTCTTCATGATCATCCTGCTACTGGTAACATGTAACCCAGTGCAACCTGTTCCATGTTCTGCTGCCTTGCAGGATTTGCTATCTAAGCAAAGGCTGGAAGGAGTGTTCTTCCTGTCATCGGTACTATCTAATATCAGTCATGCCTATAGTAATTTTTTTTTTTAATTTTTTTTTTTTTCATATAGTTGGAGGTGCCTTACTTACTGTATTAGCTCACCTGTAATCTACGTTATATGTTTGCTTGTGTTCTGTCTGAACCTCTGACGCGGTGTTCGCTCACCCGTAAGTTACTTTATGTTCTTTATGTATGTCTGTGTTCTGTCTGAACCTCTGGCACGGTGTTCGCTCACCCGTAAAATACTTTATGTTTATGTTTATGTTTTTTATGTTTTTTTTATGTATGTTTGTGTTCTGTCTGAACCTCTGGCGCAGTGTTTGCTCACCAGTAAGTTACTTTATGTTTTTTATGTATTTTTGTGTTCTGTCTGAACCTCTAGCGCGGTGTTGACTCACCCGTAAGTTGATTTATGTTTGTTTGTGTTCTGTTTATACTCTAATGCAGCGTGAGCTCAGTAACTAACTACTTACTCCAACTACAAAACCTACACTCACCTTAGACTCCTGTATTTTGTTAGATGCAGTGTTTTTCCTAATGCACTTCCAAAATGTCATGCCTGGTTTTCTCAAAGTACTGTTGCGGAAAGTAACTCCTTTTAACTACTCCAGGTCAGGTCAGGATAATTGAGATCAATTTTGCTACTGGTATCACGTAACCCAGTACCACCTGCCACAAGCCCTGCTGCCTTGCAGAGTGTGCTCTTTTTATGCAAAGGCTAGGAGAAATAAACTCCGACTAAAAATTCCCCTGTCTTGGGGCTCTTGGTTGAGTAAAGGGTAGAGATGATGTCTCGATAAAAACACTCATCTTGGGCAGATGTTAACTGCATCCAGCTAAACATCCCCTGCCTTGGGGCTCTTGATTGAGTAAAGGCTAGAGATGGTGTCTCGATAAAAATACTCATCTTGGGCAGATGTTAACTGCATCCTGCTACTGTCTTGTAGAAGGCCTCCTAGGCAAAGACTTCAGGGGTAAGCAGAAAAATTCTGCTAACCAGCCTCAAAACCCCTTCTTCATCTATTAGGCTGGCGTAGATGTAACCTGTGTTACATTGTTTCCTGCCTAGGATGATGAATGCTGGATCTCCTTGACTCTACTCATAGAATTTTGCTTATGTCTCCTTGATAATGGCTATGCAACTCTTCCTGTTATCTCCATATGAGGGTACAGCTCTAAAACTCAGTTTAATGGTTCTGAGGCCGGCTGGTAGTAAGGTTTCCCTTACTACCAGCCGGAACTCTGTGGTAGCTCTCAGAGAGGCTGTTTCCATTAACAGCTGCAAAATATCAGAGTATTAACAGTGCCATGTTGCGCATGGATGGTGTCCCTGTTAATGCTTTTGGTGTGCGTCAAGGCCACATAAGGAGCCCTATGTCACGGCTTAGGGTTAATTAACAGGACTGAGACAACTGCATAGTTCATTAATTAGGAGGCTGTGCTCTATCTATGAATGAGTCTAGTTCTCATTAAACCTAAATCATGACCAAAGTAACCAAAAATTTAAAACCTAAAAAACCATCCCCACCACCTAAATATTTTGATATATCTTTTACAAATATTCGCGGTCTACGAAGCAACTTTCCATCAGTTGAGTCTTACCTCCTGCAAAGTTCACCAGACTTGCTTGCATTCAGTGAAACAAATTTAAGTTCTGCAATTCCTTCTTCAGATGTCAGTGTTGATGGGTACTATCCTTTGGTTCGTAAAGACTCCAATAGTCACATGCTAGGTTTAGGGGTATACATACGCATTAATTCCCCTATTTGTCATGAAATCAGGTTCGAATCCTTTGACCATTCTTTTATGTGCTTTTGCCTAGCACCTCTTCACTCCATTACCTTTCTCTTTGTTCTTTATCGTTCTCCTTCTTCCCATGATTGCACTCTTTTAGATGTTATCTCTGATCAAATTGACCATGCCCTCTCTCTTTACCCCTCTGCCAATATTGTTGTTGTTGGTGATTTTAATGCCCATCACACTGAATGGCTTGGCTCTAACACCACTGATCCTGCTGGCACTAAAGCTTTTAACTTCTGCGTTTCTCAATCTCTTACTCAGATAGTTAACTTTGTGACTCGTTTTCCTGACAACCCTAATCATTTACCTTCACTCCTTGACTTATGTCTTGTCTCTGACTCTAGCTTATGTTCAGTTTCTCCCTTTTCTCCCTTAGGTGGTTCTGACCATGCAATGATCTCTATAAATCATTCTTCTTGTACTTCTTTTTTGGGCTTACCTTATCATCGCACTATCTACTACTACCCTAAAGCTGACTGGGATTCCTTTCGTGATTTTCTTTGTGATGGTCCTTGGGCTGATGTTTTTTCTCTCTCAGCTGACAAATGGGCCTCCTACATAACCTCCTGGTTTCAGGCTGGAATGGAAGCTTTTATTCCTTCTCGTCGGTTTCAAGTCAAGCCTCATTCTACTCCATGATTTTCTCCTTCTTGTGCGGCTGCTATATCCAATCGTAATCATTTTTTTCATCTTTTTCAAAAGAACAACTCTCTTGAGAACAAACGGCTATTTATTATTTCAAGAAATCGATGTAAAAAGGTGCTTTCTAATGCTAAACTCCATTATTCTCAGTTCACTAAATCTCGCATCTTATCGCAGAAGTTAGGCTCTAAAGACTTTTGGATAATCTTCAACAGCATTGTTAACAAGGGTAGATCTAACATTCCATCTCTTATTCATGGGACTGATCTTATTACCTCTCCCAAGGATAAGGCAGAACTATTTGCAAAGAACTTTTCTTCTAATTCCACTCTTGAATCTTATGGACATTCTCTTCCTTCCATTCCAGTCAAACAGGTTGACCCATTGTTAGACATTCAAATCACTCCGGCTTCTGTTGCTAAAGTCATATCTCAATTAAACTCGTCTACAGCTTGTGGTCCAGACAACATTCCTGTCACAGTCTTGCAGAATTGTTCTCCAGAACTTTCTTCAATTCTCTCTAAACTACTTAACAAGTGTTTGACTGAGTCTTGTTTTCCTGCTTGTTGGAAAATGGCATCTGTGGTTCCAATATTCAAAAACTCTGGAGAAATTCTGACCTCTCCAATTATCGTCCGATTAGTCTTCTTTCTGCTATTAGCAAGGTCTTTGAGTCTTTGATCAACAAATTCCTCACATCTAATCTTAAGTCAAATAAACTGCTGTCAGACAATCAATACGGTTTTCGATCCTCTCCCTCTACGACCGACTTGCTAACTGCTGTAACTGAAAGATTTTATCGTGCATTAGATGGAGGCGGTGAGGCTAGGGCTATTGCTCTCGACATATCTAAAGCTTTCGACAAAGTTTGGCATGCTGGTCTTCTCCATAAGCTTGCTTCATATGGTGTTTCTGGGAAAGTTTTTGAGATTATCAAATCATTTTTTTCGAACCGGTTTATTAAAGTCGTCCTTGAAGGCCAACACTCTTCTTTATTTCCAGTAACTTCTGGGGTTCCCCAAGGTTCCATCCTGGGTCCTGTTTTGTTTCTTATCTACATAAACGATCTTCCTGACAACCTTTCATCTAAAGTAGCTCTTTTTGCTGATGACTCAACTTTATATTCCTGTCTTGACAAAAAGTCTTCTCTTTTCGATCGCCTAGAACAAGCAGCTGATCTTGAATCCGATCTCACTTCAGTAATAGATTGGGGTTCACAGTGGCTTGTGAATTTCAACTCTAAAAAAACCCAGTTGCTTACTGCAAACAACTACCATAATATGGTCAACATTCCTATATTAATGAATGGCAATCCTCTTACTGAGTCCTCCTCTTTACGTCTTCTTGGATTATCGCTTACTACTGACCTTTCATGGAAACCATATATACAATCGATTGCTAAATTAGCTTCTGCTAAGGTTGCTTCTCTTTATCGTGCTCGCCATTTTCTTACTTCTGATTCCATTTTCTACCTCTACAAATCTCTTATTCGTCCCTGTATGGAATACTGTTGTCATATTTGGGCTGGTTCTTCTAACGATTCACTTTCTTTTCTTGATAAGGTCCAAAAACGCATTGTAAATGTTGTTGGACCTGGACTATCTGTTAAGCTTGAACCTCTTTCCCATCGTCGTAAAGTTGCATCTCTTTCTCTTTTCTACAGATACTATCATGGTCACTGCTCAAAGGAGTTGATGGAACTAGAGATGATAAATCTCTAGTTCCATCAACTAAAATTCATTCTCGTTTTACTCGTCATTCAGCTAAGTCTCATTCGTTTCCTGTATCTGTCCCTGCATGCTCTAAAAACTTTTATTCATCTAGTTTTTTTCCCCGCCCTTTAATCATTTGGAACTCTCTCCCATCTTCATGTTTTCCTGACTCATACAACCTCCAACTTTTCAAGTCTTCTGTCAACCGTTTCCTTGCTCTATAACTCTGTTCTTTTTTTTCTCCTAGTTACTCCCAACTTAATAGTGGTTGCTTGCAGCCTTGTTGGGAGTGAACGCAAATAAAAAAAAAAAAAAAAAAAATCTCAATCAATTGAATGGCTATTCCCATCAAAAAACTGTTAAATTTTTATAATTTTTAACTTTTTAAATTTACAACTTATAATATTTTAATATATATATATAATTTAATGTTATGAAATCTTAGTTGACCCAATACAGGTTTTCTGTAAAAGCCACAAAAAACAGAAAAGTGATCCCAAATCATTAGCAATATTTAAATATTAATATTTTTATTCCGTTTAATGTCAATATTTATTTTTTAAAAAAAAATAGGTCTTTTATATTTTTTTTATTTGAAAATGAAAGCGCTTATAGGAAAAAAACACTATTATTTTAAAGTTAGTGCATTTCTAAACTTTTTTTTTTGATAAACACAAAAATAATTGTGACGCCAAGCTCGCTTTTATATTGAGTGAAACAGCCGTGATATATATATATATATATATATATATATATATATATATATATATATATATATATATATAGTTTTTTTTTTTTTGTTATTTACCTCCTCAAGGCCGAGAAGGCCACTAGACAAGGAGGCCGAGAAGGCCACACAGACAAGGAGGCTACTTAATAGTGGTTATAACCCTCTCTCAACTCTATAACTCTGAAACACAAACCTTGACGAACAAATCCGCCACGCAGAGAAACAAGTTGAGTATATATATATATATATATATATATATATATATATATATACATATATATATATATACACTGTATATATATATATATACTCTATATATATATATATATATATATATATATATTTATATATATATATATATATATATATATATATATATATATATATATATATATATATATATATATATATATATATATATATATATATATATATATATATATATATATATATATATATATATATATATATATATATAAATGCTTTTGCATTTAATGTTTAACTTGAATTAAAAGGTATAATAAAAATATTAAATATAAATCTAGGTAAATTTTGATAAATTTGAATTTGAGAATAATTATTTTAGAATCTGTAAGTATGTACAACCCTTGGAAAATGAGGTCAGCAATAAATTGCCAACTTCAAACTTTTAGCAGTCGGCATCTGCAAAAAAAGTTTGACAAAAGGGGAACCATAAAACAGAAACAAGGCCGGCTATTTTTAAACAAGCTCAAACACATTTAGGTCAGCAGTAAGGTTGGCCGAATGTTTATCCTAATTATCCTAGGCTGTATGTATATATACTTTTCGAATATTTGAGTCAAATTTAAGTTAAAGAAACTTTTCTCCTTTAGATGGTTCAATGCTAACATCTCTCTAAATCTTTTATCTCATACTTTTATACAATATCATTGCACTATTTACTACTCCCATATCTCCTAAGTAATCTTTTGAATCAAATTTGAAAATATGGCAAATATGGAAGCTTCTATTCCTACTTATTGGTTTTTCAAAAAAAATCTATAAAAGTGATAATAATAATAAAAAGTATTTATTGTAGTGATAAATGGTGAAAAAGTAGGAGTGATAAAAAATCTATTGGAGTAATAAGAAAAAGATGTTGCAATTTTGAGGGGCATGATTGAAATTTCGTAAGTTTGTATGTAAAGTATGCAAAATGTATTTGAGAAGCCTGAAAAGGTTTCCACAACTTTTTAGAGGTGTTGTTGTTACCTTTATTATTGTCTTTTTACCGAAATTAAGGTTTTGTTATAATTGGAAATCATATGATTGGATGGCTCAATTTGATTGAATGGATTTTGATTATAAATTTAATTATACTTATAAATCTGGTTTATTTTTATTTTAGCCTTTAAAGGGAATGACTTCACAGGTTTTAAAAATGATAAATTTAAAAACTAGCGACAGTGGATCATATACTTGTGAAGTAATTCAAAATACGATAAGAGTGTCTAGCAGTATTGCAATAATAATTGTTTTTGGTAAGTATTGTCAATTTTTATAATATTAGTATTTTAAATCTCTCCAAAAAACAATTTTTATGTAAAAATTTGTGAAAGTTGGTTATGTTAAAAATATTATCTAAAATTTTTTTAGATCCGTATCCTGTATTTTTGAACCCTTCTTCTGATTATAGTTTAACAGTAATGGAGAATGGGCCTAAAATTAAGAATCTTCTGATTATTTCAGCAAGAACGCAAAGTAATGAATCTAATTTTGAGGAAATGTTTTTTGATATTATATCAGGTAAACTTAAATTGTAAATCATATTTTGGTTTTATATAGTACACATTTAGGTGGTATGTGTAGACATTTTTAAAAAAACTTGTTTTTCTGACACTCTAATATATACTAATATATATATATATATATATATATATATATATATATATATATATATATATATATATATATATATACTATAACGTATATATATATATATATATATATATATATATATATATATATATATATATACTATAACGTATATATATATATATATATATATATATATATATATATATATATATATATATATATATATATATATATATACATACTATAACGTCAGATTGCTTACCTTAGTACGCAATACTATTTGTGTATATATATATATATATATATATATATATATATATATATATATATATATATACATTTGTTAATGCAGCATTAGGCGCATGCAGATGAAGTCATCAAAAAACAGGAATTTGCGGGGGCTTCAGTACATACATCGACTGACAAATAGCCTGACTCACAGCAGGATGTTGCTACATCAATTGAGGGTTGGGGATGGGGTAGCAATCTTTTCTTTCATTATTCTTCATTTTTTTCTTCTTTTTCTAAAAAATTAAATCGCACAATTTTACCTTAATTTTACCTTAATAGTAATAATATACAAAATATATATATATATATATATATATATATATATATATATATATATATATATATATATATATATATATATATATATATATAATATATTTATAAAACATAGTAAGTTATAAAAGTATTTGTATATAATTTTTAAAATTGTATTTAGGCAATGATCTTCAATACTTTCAACTGTTTCCAAACAGATCTTCAACAGGTACAACACTACAAAGAACTCAACAGTTAAATAGAGAAATGATAAAAAGCTTCCAATTAAAAATCAGAGCATCTAATACATTAAACCCAAAATATAACACTGTTCAATTAATATGGATCACAGTTGTAGATGAAAATGATAATTCTCCTATATTTGATAAAACAAGCTATAATACCTCTGTGTTAGAAGGATCTCCTATTGGAACAGTAATAGTTCAAATACATGCAATTGATCCTGATGAAGGTCGCAATTCAATTATTGTCTACTCTATTTTGCCCATTATTGATAGCAGATTGTTTGCAATTGATCAATATACTGGGATAATCACATTGACAGATAATCTTGATACAAATGTAAAATCAGCATACCTGATTATAGTTAAAGCTAATAATTTATTGGGTTCTTTAAACTCATCATATGCCCAAGTGTTCATCACCATAACTAATATAAATAAGTTTGAACCTTACTGGTTGAAGGATACATACAACGTTGATATATCAGAGTCAGTGACTCCAGACACACAGATACTACAGTTGCTGGCAGCTGATGAAGATTCTGGAACTAATGGATTAATAAAGTATGAAGTTGTAAGTGGTAATGAAGCTAATTTATTTGATGTTAAGTTAACTGGCATGTTGGTAACAAAAGGTAAACTAAGTTATGATTTACAAAATATTTATCTAATAATAATTCATATTCAAGATGGTGGGTCACCTCCTAAGTCTGCTGTTAAAAATGCAACGGTAACAATAAATGTTCTTAACTCGAAAAGCAATAATCCAATATTTGAAAAATCTGAATATATTACAACTGTGATGGAAAATACTTCATATTTTGATCCACCATTTGTTGTGAAAGCAAACAGTTTAGACAAAAGTAATTTTTTTTTTACTTTTTTTTCTATTCTAGAAAAAAAAAAAAAATTTTTTTTCAAGTTATGGTCTTATAAACAAATATATCTTTTTTTAATATAATTTAATTTATAAGAATATTCAATAAAAAAATAAAAATTATAATAACTGAAAAAACTTATACAATATTCAATGCTGAATTGTAATAAATATTGTAATAAAAAAATAAAGAATGTCTGGAATAGACGTCCTCAGGTATTTTATTTAAGACAAACAAAGGACGTCTTATGGAGGACTACTGTCACCTTATTCAGTCATGCTGAATTAATTGACAACAGTCACTTAATTCAGCATGACTAAAATAGACAGCGTCTATTCGATAAATGATTCAGCGTCTGGAATAGACGTCCTCAGGTATTTTATTTAAGACGAACAAAGGACGTCTTATGGAGGACTACTGTCACTTAATTCAGTCATGCTGAATTAAGTGACAATACTCACTTAATTCAGCATCTATTTGGTCCAAAATTTGTGTGTAGTTTTGTGAAGCTAACTTAAATATGACATTTTTGTATTTCTTTCTCAGACATGATATTGGTTTATAGTTAATCTAGTTATCTCTGTACTTATTTTATCCATGTACCATGTATCCAATTTGACAATGAATCTTTATCTTTAATTAATAATTAGCTTTAAAAGTTTTTGTCATATTTTCTCAAAAGTAAGAGCTTTTTTAAGTTGCAATCAAAACAAAAACCTTTAATCACATTTTTCTTCAATTTTCATTGTCTAACATCATTAAGGTGTCGCTTAAATAATATAAGTTGTTACTAGTAATAATTACTAATTTATTGCTGGAAATATGTTTTAACTTAAATTCTTTTGGTATTCATATGTTTCTTTTTATCTATGTTTCTTCTTTTTTGTTTCTTTTTTTAGAACTAACAATAATGTATAGCATACCTCCCAACCAAAATGTTTCTGAAATATTTGATATTGGTATTTTAACAGGAATTATTTTACTCAAAAAGCCTCTTGATTATGAAAAAGCAACATTTTATAAGTTTATTGTCCAAGCTACTGCAGCCGGTACAAATGCTGCAGCAAATGCCAATATTCTTGTAAAAGTTCTTGATGCAAGCAACAAAGTTCCTTTTTTTGTGGATTCTTATAAAAGCATAAACATAGAGGTAAAAATAAGTGTTGAGAGAATAGTTTATAGAGTGTCAGCAGTTGATAAAGATTCAGGGATGAATGGAGTAATCGGATACAGAATTAAATCTGGAAACATTAAAAATATCTTTGAAATTGATTCTACTACAGGTAATTTTTTTTTATTAAATCAGTGTTTCACAGGAAGATGTGGGATTGCACATCTTTATATGATCACTCAATTTTTGTTTTGCTGACTTGAACTTTTAAATAGTTTAATAATTTTCATGCATTTTAAATACGATGTTTAAAAAGCAAAAGTAAACTAAATAATAATGAAAATGAAAACCATAAACTGAAAAAGCCACAAAATTAAGTTTTTTTTTTTTTAATTTAAAAGTTTCGCTTAATAGACTTGCATAGTTATTTATTTTAACTGATTTATAAACTTACTTTTTTACTTTTGTTTATTTTCTCTTATATTAAGATTAGTTTTTTGTTTATTTTTATTATTTTTTTATTTATTCATCTCCCCAAATCCGAGAAGGCCACTACAGTTGAGGAGGCTACTTTTGTGGTTACAAAATCTCTTAACTCTGAAACGCAAACCTTGACAAATAATACAGCTGCGCAGGGAAAGAAGTATAGCAATAAATATTTATATACATAAAAATTTTTAGCTTAAGACAATTATCTCAACAAAATATTAAAAAAAATAATTATTAAATGTACTTTGAAGGTTCAGAGTTTGCAGTTAGATATCTGATCAAAATTCAATTTATTAAAATCATTCAATAACAAGAAAGCAACAAAGCAGTTGCCGTAGCTCGCTTCTTGACTCCACTCCACTAATGTTTTTTTTTTACATGAATACTTTATTTAAAGTAGCTTCTAAAGCTTCTCCAAGCTCATCACACAATCTATATTATTTTGAATAAATTTTACTGTAAGCACAGCAAAATTGAATTTTTTTTAAAAAAAATATTTTTCTTAAAACAAGAAATGCATTATTGTTTTAAGAAATAAATATCCTACCCTTTTAATTTTCAAAAAAATTTTTAAACTATGCTTAGTAGATATACATTTTTGCTGTGATTTCTGATATATTGTTAGCAACTTTGAAAGATTTTAAAAGTTTTGGAATTCATTGTACCCAAAAGGTCTGAGGAAGTTTCATTTGAAGACATTTTTTCAAACTATGACTTAAAATATCAAATATTAACCCGTAGTCTGGTGAAATATACAATTCAAGATCTAGTGGCTGGTCTTTATCAACTTGCTTTCAGAAGGATTTCAGCTTTGATTTTAACTTTTTTTTTTTTATCTTTTCGGACCTACGTTTGTTTGTAAATACAGAACTTTTTACCATTTTTATATTGTGATCTTGGTCAAAAGATGCGTCCAACCAGCATTTTGAGAAATTCTAAGTTTAAGTAAAACATAGATACCCTAAAAATGCTGATTTGATTCAAGATTTGATTCAATTTGTGAAGTAATGCCTGCTTCAATTTGTTATTTGATTCGGTACCAAAAAAGGTGATTTGCAGGACCATAGTTTAAAATGACATTGCTAAATACTTATTAGATTTATTTTTGACAAGATAAAATCAAAGTGTTAATTCTATTGATTTCATTTTTATTATATTTCTACTGATTTAAAAAAAAGTCTGTCATTAGAAAAAAAAATTAATTATTTTCTTTGTATTTTATATCTGTTATTTTCTTTGTATTTTACATCTGATTTTAAACCATTGTTTTAAACAATTTGTTACTTTATGACATAAATTATTCTTAAATTATAAGACTAAAATATCAAAACTTATGAAATTAAGTTTTACTTTAAAAATTGCAGAAACAAAAAAGTTGCAAGTTAAAAACGCAATTCCCTGGAGAGAGAAATTTATTCAGCCATTTTATTGATCTCTTTGAACTTTTATTACTCAGAATAAAAACCTGCCTGATTTTAGAGAAATGAAACTTAAATTTCATGAAAGTCAAGACATGTGAAACATTTTTGTTAGTTTTCACCTATTGGTCTGATTTTTTTCCAGGAGTTCACAATAATCTCTGCTCTTCTTAAAAGTCTATACGCAAATAATTTTAAAATTAGAAACTTATTCAGTTTCTTTTTGCAAAAAGATATTTTTAAGTGAAGCAGTTTTATCTTTACCTTACTATTTGTTAACCTTTTATGGTTTTATGATATAAATAGTTTATTCCCCAGTTTAACAATAATTAATTTTCAGCTATGGCTATATGAAACTTTCTGACATGATGGCAGGGAGTTAACAAGAATAATGGATAGTTAGCTAACCATGTACAAACTATGTTTAAACACCCAGGGCTTGAAGTGGGTAAACTGTATGAGATAAAAAGCATGTAACTAATTTCTAATTGCTGTGTATTGGGCCTCAAGGCAATCGAGTTTAAAAATCACGTTTTTTTAATTTCATTGTGTTTTTAAAATATCACCAGTTAACAAAATTAATAGTAATAAAAATTTGCACACTTGGTACAGATAAAAAACCTTCCATTAATTGTAATGGCGTTATTATATAGTTAACGATTTGTAAACTTCTATTCACCCGGATTGTTTGAAAATGGGCTTAAAAACTCAAAAAATTTAAAAATCTTAGAGTGATTTGAGTCATCTAAAAAAAAAAAAACATTTCATAAAGAAAACAATACCTTGGGATTATTTTAATACTCTGTGTATTAAAATTTGTTCATGAGGGTCAAAATGGGATGGACGTTACTACCAGGGATGTGGTGGGGGTTGAACTTGGAACTTCTTGTTTATGTGGCGAACGCTCTATTATTACACCACTACCGCATTTCAAGTTTATGGTTTTTGTTTTCATTTTTTTTGTTTTGATTTTAAGCGCCATTTTTAAAATTATCAAACTAATTAAAAGCTGTGGCCGACTCAGCAAAACAAAAGTTGTACCTGCATGGTCATATAAAGATGTGCCATTGAACATCTTTCTGTGAAACTTTGTAAATGTGTTTAAAGTTAGTTTTTTATAAGTGCAAATCCTTTTTAAAATCACTATATAGGTGACATACGCATTAACAACTCATTGGATACAAACACTGAACGTTTTACCTTGTATATAGTTGCATTTTACATTGGCAGACCTTCTATAGAAAGTATACCGTTTATTCTGGACATTTATATCACAGGCGTGAGTGAGATTTGTTTTATTATTTTGCTGTAAAATTATTTGATTTTTTCAGTAAAAATAAAATTAAAAATTGTAATGTAGTTTTAAAAGTTCTTTTATCAAATTTAGTTTTTTTTTTAATATATATATTTTTATATAGTTTTTATAATATACCAAAAAAAATTAATTTATTTAACTTTTTTTCACTTATTTTTTAAAATTAAAATAAATAAAATAGATAACTAAAAATAAATTGTTGTTTCAAATTTTATTGTTAAATCAGTACCATAATTTAATAAAATGATAAACAAAAAAATTTTAAGATATTGTTTTTTTCTTATTAGAAATTAGAAAAACAGCTTTAGGTAACATGGGGGGGTGTTAGTCCCAAAATGCAGGATTTTTCTAAAAAGGCCCAATTTTTTTTTATAAAGGAAATTATAAATGTAAAATAAAAGTTTTTTCCAGTAAGAAGAACATTTTCAGTGAGAAGAACAACATTGCAAAACAAATATACATAACAAAAACAAGAAAATTTATACTTTTTTTTAAAATAAAAAACAAAAAATAACAATTAGTTATAATGGTTGATAATTTATATAAGATAATAAAGATAAATTTTTATTTTGAAATAAAATTTTTTTAGTTTAATCTTTCACACCTTTTCAGTGAAATAACTAATATTATTATTTGAAAGTGAATGATCATATTATTATTTGAAGGTAACTGACATTTTAAACAAGTTTCAAGTTATAAATAAGTTAGTTTTTAGATTTTAATTTTTGACATGAAACAGGATTGCTTTCCCTAAATAGTTGCTCCAAACTTTAGCTTTGAAGTTCAAGGGTAAACCCTTGACTTATTGTTTAAAATCCTGATTGATTTCCTTGAACAGCATAGTTGGAAGAATTTTGATCAAGAGCACGGTTAAAACTTTCACATTGTCTTGTAGCAAACTTTTCTTGAAAAAAGCAGTGACCCTGTAGTAGTGACCCTGAAGATTTTACAAATTTCATGTTGTTTACCATAACTTTCAAGTTATGGTAAACAACAATTTATGTAGTGTCTGACATTATTATTAATCAAATGTTGTATGGTATTCAAATATTATAGACAAAGTAATGTTTTAAAATTATTCTCTATGCACACTTTACTTTACAACTTTACTGCTCAGAGTAGTTTGAGCATTTTAAGTACAGTTTTAAAGTAGATTTTTTTGTGGAAGAGATTTGTTTAAGAAACAAAAAGTTTCATTTGAATAATTTTGATTGGCTTAGCTTCCGTATTAATTTTACTTCTATGGTTAAACTGATAATTGATTAAAATTTAATTTTCAGATGTATATTTAGGTTAATCAACTTACGTTTTAATCAGTGTTTGTGTGTGGAAGGGAAGGCGGACATATTTAGTTTTTCTTAAGGTGAGCTTAAAGTGCCTTAAACAACTAAACTTTAAAAATTTGATTGAGCTGTTTTGTTAGCATTGACTCAAAAAATAAAAACATAATAAAACCCATGTTCTAAGAATTATCTCCACTTTTCACTGCAAAAGGTGCTTCATTAATAAAAATAAAAGCAGTGATGATTTAAGAAAATGATTAGGCATTGTGGGTATATCTATTTTATTGCGTCAGGTAAGATTTAGGTGGTTTGGACATGTAAAGCATAAAAATGCAAATGACTGGTTATCAGCATGTAGAGAGTTGGAAGTTTCAGAGAAAGCTAGAGGTAGAAGCTGATAAACTTGGAAAGATTGTATTTCAAGTTTGTTAGTCTATGCGATGAAATACAATGGGTATTGTATAGAAAAACTCAAGATAAACATCGCATCAATTTTACTTATTAAAGTAGACTTCTTTCTGGAAAATATCTGACAAATGTTGAAGTAGAAAATAGTACAGTAAACAGTATGGCTTCAACATTACTGAATTTTCTTACTGAATTTGATACTAATGAACGCTTAGAAGCAATTGCTCTAGATAATACAAGTTTTAACACAGGTGTTAGCAATGGTTTAGTTGTCTGATTAGAAAAGATTTTTAAACATAGCATTCATAAAGTGGGTTGCTTACTTCACCATGGTTAGTTACCTTTTTGTCATCTTATATTGAAAATAGAAAAATTAATGATCTTAAAAACTATAAAGGCCCTACTGGTAAACAAGTATTTGAAATTTTCATGTATGAACAACTTTTTATTAATTCAAAATTTTGTAAAATCTTCAGGGTCACTCCTGCTGCTTTTTTCAAGAAAAGTTTCTAGATGCTTTGCTACAAGACAATGTGAAAGTTGGAAGAGCCCGTGCTTTTGATCAAATTCTTCCAACTATGCTATTTGAGGAAATCAATCAGGATTTTAAACAATAAGTCAAGGGTTTACCCTTGACTTATTGTTTAATTTACCCTTTTGATTTTACCCATTTGATTTACCCTTGAACTTCAAAGCTGAAGTTTGGAGCAACTATTTTAGAGAAATCAATGCCGTTTCAAGTCAAAAATTAAAGATAAGCCAGTTATATCCTTGAACTTCAATATTGAAGTTTGGAGTTTGTTGATATTAATGTTGCTTGAAATCGATGTTGCTTTATTACAATTTGAGCAACCTATTTCATTCTTTATTACCTAATGTAAGTTACAAACTATTTAAACTGCTAGAAAAGTTTCTCTCTGCCAAACAAGTCACAATCGGTGGAAAGAACTGTAAAACTTTCATCTGAAGCCTTAAAAAAAGTTTATGAAAGGGTGAAGAGGCATAACTGCATGCTGATTAAAAACTAAAGCAGAATGGAAACCATGAGAAATGCGACCATCACATCATAATTTTATCATCTTTTGTGTTTCAAACATATGTTAAAAATGACAGACATTTCTTTAAAATACTGTTTTTTGTTTCTTCCAATATAAGAAAAATAAAAAGTTGTTGTATTGCAGTAATTAATGTTAAAAATAAGATAAACCATGTGCAGGGCGCAAAGATGTGAGACAACCTAAATCAAAATCAGAACTCTCTGTAAACACTTTTAAATAAAAAAGAATCTTGCAAAAAAAAAAAAATAGGATAATACTCTTTTCGAAAAAATTGAAGTGATTTCTTAAAATTACCTTAAATCCAAATTAGCTAATTTTTTCAGAATCGGGTTTGTATATCTGTATCTCACAAGTTCCAAATTGAGCCAATGTGTCCAGAAACAAAGTATGTTTAGACACTTAATCAGCATGCTCAAGAGTATTGTAATTTTTATAGTGCTGGTATTTTTTTATAGTGTTTTTTTTTTTTGGTTAAGTTTCCCTTAATACTAAAATTCTCTCTAAATGTATATTTAAAATATACATTTAGAGAGACCAAAAATGTATTTTTTAAAAAAAAAAACTTTTCTAAATAGAAATATAATAATTTTTAATATGGTTATGTTACTAGATAAATTATTATGCTCCTGCATTCCCATCATCATCTTTCACTGTACTAATGAGTTGATACTTCCATACCTGATCAATATGTGTATCAACTGGCAGCTAATGATCCTGATCCAGGTCCTGATGGTTATCTTAAATACAATATTGTAAGTGGCAACAACAATGGGTTATTTTATATTGACGTAACAGGTTTTTAATTTTTTTTTTTTTTTTTTTTATATTTATTTCTTTTATAAATAAAAAAAAATCTTTTTTTTCAATTTTTTTAACTATGAACCAGGCTTGGTCGGGAAGCGGGTGTGATCGCACTCAATAACTTACCATGGAAATAATATTTAGTTGAGAAAAACCGGATAGATTTTTTAGTCGTTTTGAGAACATTTAAATTTATGCATGTTTCTTTGTTTGTCCGCAAAATAATAACTAAGTTTATTATAAATCGTAAATTTTAAATATTTTGTAAAAATAAAAAAAGAATATTTGCAAACACAAAAATCCCGCCAAATCTACGGACATCTAATTTTATTGGTTCAAAAAATACTAGCTGAAATTTCTAGAGTATTCAAGAAATACTAATCGAATATTCTAGAGTATTCTGTTGAAATATTTTTAAAAATTGTATAATGTGAGTTTTGTTATGTTTTTGTTGAGATTTCTAGCATAAACTGTTTTAAGAATATACTATCAAACAAAATATTATTTTAATACTATGGCTCATTCTCGGAGCAAAGCTATAAATGTTTTAAACTAACATTATTTGTTTACAAAAATAAATGTTTTAAATTTATATTTCTTAATTTGTCAACATTTTGTAAATACATTATTATAGATTTTATTATTATACTCTTATTTTTTATATATAAGGGATGTATTTTTTATGTATGTAATGTATTTTTATCCATGTATTTTTATGTGTGTAATTTTATGTATGTGTATTTTATTCAAATGTAATCTTTTAAAGCAATTTGTGCAATTGATTTTGTAAACAAAAATACTTTCAATAATAACTGCGTTTTTAATGAAATTGTTAATAATCATCAAAGTTAATACAAATAATTTTAACCACTAATCCATTTTCCTCAGTGTACCCGATAACTAATTCTTTCCCCCAAGAAAGAAAAGTTTTTAAGTTTTTAGAAATTGGTTTACTAACTTCAATTATTTTTGGTTCAGCCATTCTTACAAACTTGTTATACTTGAACTTAAAGTTACTTTTTTCTGTTTTAAATACTAATTAAAATTATAAAGCCCACTCACAAAACATCATCAGCGCTATTGTGAAGCAGTTCTGCTTCTTCCTCACATAGTAATTTAATGTTTTTAGTTAATTTCTATTTAGCTAATTGAATTTCTACATTAATTCAATGGTTTAATTATTTCATTTGTTCATCTTACTAAGAAGAATTGTTTCAAATGTGTTAAACTTTTCAAACTACGCGAAGCATAAAACAATTAGTAAAAAAACTTTTTTATTTATAAATAAATCATCTAGCGTTAGTTTTATTGGTTGAATCTTGTTGGACTTCAAGGTTAGGGTTAGGGTTAGGGTTTTTTTTTCATGGCCGGGGGCTGCATTATTTTGGTCTGTTCTTTTTTATGTGCTACAGCTTAAAAATGACTAAAAAAAAACCCGAATGGCCCTCTTCACTATTTTGTGGCCCCTAACATTGTGAGTCTTGGGGTTATAGCCCTTTAACTCCCCCCCTCCTCCCTAATCATTAATAGTAAGTTGTTACTTTATATAAAAAATGTCGCCTAATTTTATAAAAAAAAATTATAAAAGAGCGATGTTTCAAAAATATTTGCTCTAATCGTATTTATTTTGCTTGAAGTTCTTTCGCGTTAAAAGCATTTAACTGTCTCTCATTAATCCAGTTAATCTTATTGCGCTTTTTTGTTTGTTTTTGAAATGTTCTCAAAACGACTTAAAAATCTGGCAGGTTTTACGCAACTAAATATTATTTCTGTGGTCAATTATTGAGTGCGATCGCACCTGCTTCCAGACCAAGCCTGTGAATGTGTGTTAAGATGACACGACACAAAAATAGCCTGCTACTGAGTTATGGATGTATAAAATTTAACACAATTTTGTCAAATATATTGCATATTATAAAAGTTTTTTTTAGAGCATTTTTATAAATATGTTTGTAGGAGTTAATACAATAGTTATTTCATTTATGACTTTCTGTAATTTTGTTAGCTTGTCTCTCCATGCCGCATTCTTGTTCACTAAGGTTTTAGAGAGAGGCTTGTAACCACAAAAAAAAAAGCCTCCTTAACTGTAGTGGCCTTCTTGGCCTTGGAGAGGTACACAATATTAAAAAAAAACATAATTTTTGGTATAAATTGATTAGTTTTAGTTTTTGTTTTAGTTTTTTCTTTTTCAATTTGTTTTTTTACAGAGTTTTTTCAGACAGTAAGTAGAGCTAAAGAGCAAAGAAACAGAAATGAAAAGTTATAGAGCAAGAAAAAGATTGACAGAAGACTTAAAAGTTGTTGGTTGTATGAGTCAGGAAAATATGAAGATGGGAGAGAGGGTTAAAGTCCTTGGAAAATAAACTTGACAACAAAAGTTTTAAGAGCATGCAGGGACAGATAAAGTAGAAGAATTTGTTGACTTTGTTGATTGACCAATTAAACAAGATTGAGTTTTAGGTGCTGGACCTAGAGATGATTTACTAGTTCCTTCAAGCAGCGACCATGATAGCATTTGTAGAAAAGAGAAAAATATGCAACTTAATGACGATGGGGGAGAGACTCAAGCTTAGCAGATAGCGTAAGTCTAACAACGTTTACAATGCGTTTTTTGACCTTGTCTTGAAAAGAAAGAGTATTATTAGAAGTGCCAGTCTAAATATGACAACAGTGTTTTATACACAGGCGAATAAGAGATTTGAAGAGGTAGAGAATGGAATCATGAGTAAGAAAGTGGCAAATGCAATAAAGAGAAGTAAACTTAGCAGATGCTGGTTCAGCAATTGATTGTATATATGGTTTCCATCAGAGGTTGTGATCGATAATCCAAGAAGACTTAGAAATAAAGACTCAGTGAGAGGGTTGCCTTTAATTTAAATAGAAATGTTGACAATATTGTTTAGTTTAGATGTTTTCACTTATCATTTCACTTATCTGACATTCTTTTCCATTATTAACTGCCTTTTTAATACTTTAATATTCAATAAAAATATGTTGTTTCAAAAAAACTGTGTTTTTAAAAAAAAATTAGTTAACTCAAATTTGAACATCTTTTAATTTGTATTTAAAGCTGAAAATGGTAAAATCAGAAATCTAGCAAAACTTTCATAAATTAATGAAAAATTAGTATTGAGAGAACTTGTATTCATTGATGTTCATATATTATATATATATATATATATATATATATATATATATATATATATATATATATATATATATATATATATATATATATATATATATATATATATATATATATATATATATATATATATCATATAGTATTGTAATATATATATATATATATATTTGTATTTTTATATATATATCTCATATATATTTGTAAGTAATATAGTAGTAATTAGTAATAACTTTTTGAGGTAGAAGTTTTGAAAAAATAGATTTATTTTAAATATTGTGTTATTTTTTATACTAATGCAATTTTTTTTTTTTATTAGGCATTGTTCGTGTTAAACCACCAAATGGATTTCAATTTTTGTCTCAATACCAATTAGGTATCACAGCTGAAGACAGCTTTGTACCTCCAAAGGTTTCTTCAATTTTTACTCTTTTTGTAAGAACAACTCCAAGAATATTTGTTGATAATATTCAACTTGGAAGTTATCAGTTTCAGTCGACAATTTCATTTAAAGATTATGCTTACTTAAAGAATCTTTTTATGATCCAAGTGTTAGTGCAAAGATACGCACCCTACAATTCATTTTGTAACTATTTTATTTTGAATTTATTGACTTTTAAAAACTAAATAAGCATATTTTGACAGTTGTCAAGACAAAAATAAAGATTAATAGAGGAATATTTAAAAATAAATAAGACAGGCTATACAACCAAAACAGTACTCAACAATAATATCAATAAAAAAAATTTAAAAAAATAAAAATAAATAATAAAAAAATATATATATATAAAAATAAAAAAATTAAATTGACCAATGATCAACATTTGTAGTATAAGTTTATATTACACACACACTTACATATATATATATACATATATATATGTATATATATATATATATATATATATATATATATATATATATATATATATATATATATATATATATATATGTATATATATATATATCCTTATAGTGTAGTCGAAAGAGACTTTAATGGTAAAAAAAGTCTCTTTCGACTACAATTTTAATTACCTCGGCTCTTAAGCTGTATTTGATTGTCATCGAAATGTCAAAGCAGTTAAATTAATGCGGAAGTACATTATATTTTATTGTTTTTTAAAAAAACCGCAATAATAATGACTAGAAAGTTTTTTTTAATTAATAGTGTTTTTGTTTTTGTTTTATTAAAAAAAACATTTTTAAAACATGCGTAAGTGTTGCTACATCAACTATCTCATAGCCTGCTGCTACAAGGGAGTGTTGCTACATCGACTATCTTATAGCCTGACTCCCAAGGGAGTGCTGCTACATCGACTGACAAATAGCCTGACTCGCAACAGGGTGCTGCTACGTCGACTGACAAATAGCCTGACACGTAACGGAGTGCTGCTACATCGACTGACAAATAGCCTGACTTGCAACGGAGTGCTGCTACATCGACTAATGGTTTGGTTTGGGCAGGCAGTCTATTATTAAAAAAAAAAATTTTGAAGTTTTTTAACATTTTCTGTTCAGGCTTATTAACCCTATATATATATATATATTTATATATATATATAATATATATATATATATATATATATATATATATATATATATATATATATAGCGAAATTTCTAGAGTTCCAATTATTATTGCAGATTTTATGCGAATTGCATTTATAAAATTAACCACAAAAGTTTTTTTTATTTGACCTCTTGCAAACAAATGTTTTTATGATAATTTTATGTGTTTCTAAAACAATTTAAAAAAAAAAAGCAAAAATTGTTGCTTATAAAGATATGGGTTTGTCCAATCGAAGTATTGCAAAGAAAATCAAAAGGTCTTATCATGCAGTGAACAATTTATAAATTTAGATAAAAATTACAACAAAAATTACTTTAAGGGCGGAAATAAAAAAACAACCAAAAGGCAACATTCTTTCATTTTGCGTTTGGCATCATTAGGAATATGAACACCAAGACAAGTAAGGACTGAACTTTAATTACCTGTGACTACAAGACGTGTCCAACAAATTTTGTCAAAATCAGGACTGTCAAAATTCCAATGGAAAAGAATGATCACAAAACCACCATTGACAAAAAAACATAAAAGTGCAAGATTTAAGTTTCCACAACAAAATTCCAATATGTTTTATTACAACAAAAATGAATGCAAGAAATTACGCAGATCTTTTAGAAGATATTTTATTAGAGTTTAGTGAAGGTTTATTGGTCAGGTCAGGTTTTCCTGCTACTGGTAACATGTAACCCAGTACAACCTGCTTCATGTCCTGCTGCCTTGTAGGAAACGCTTTTTTAGGCAAAGGCTAGGAGAAGTTAACTCCGAATTAAAACACCCCCTGCCTTGGGGCTCTTGGTTGAGTAAAGGCTAGAGATGGTGTCTCGATAAAAATACTCATCTTGGGCAGATGTTACATGCATCCAGCTGCTGTCTTGTAGAAGGCCTCCTAGGCAAAGACTTAAGGGGTAAACAGATTCTATCTGTTGACCAGCCTCGCACCCCTTCCTCATCTATTAGACTGGCGCAGATGTATTTTTAATACATTGTTTCCAGTTTAGGATGTTGAACGCTGGATCTTCTTGACTCAATGCGTGGGTATTGCTTGTGTCTCTATTTTTACGACTAGGCAACTCATTCTATTATCTCCTAATGAGGGTACAGCTCTAAAACTCAGTTTTATGGTTCTTAGGCCGGCTGGTAGTCAGGTTTCCCGAACTCTGTGGTAGCTCTCAGAGAGGCTGATTCCATCAACAGCCGAAAAATATCAGAGTACTAACAGTGCCATGTTGCGCATGGATGGTGTCCCTGTTTGTACTGTTGGTGTGCATTGCAGAGGCCACATTTGGAGCCCTTTGTTACGGCTTAGGGTTTATTAATAGTAATGAGGCTATTGCTTAGTTGTTAAATAGTGTACTGAGTACTGTCTATACTTGAGTCAAGTTCTTTATAAATTCAAAATGACTAAAGTACCTAAAACTAAAAAACACAAAAAACCATCGTCATCACCAAGTTCTCTAAACCTATCATTTACTAATATTCGTGGTCTTCGAAGTAACTTTTCTTCTGTTGAGTCTTATCTCTTACAAAGTTCACCAGACCTACTTGCTCTTTGTGAGACTAATTTGAGTTCGGCTGTCCCATCTTGTGATCTTAGTGTTAATGGTTATCTTCCTTTAATTCGTAAAGACTCCAATAATCACATGCTTGGCCTGGGCATCTACATTCGTAAGAACTCACCCATTTGTCGTGAAACTAGGTTTGAATCTACAGACTATTCATTTATGTGCTTTCGTTTAGCACAACTTCACTCTATCGCCTTTCTCTTTGTTCTATATCGCTCTCCTTCATCCCAAGATTGCACTATTCTTGATGTTATTTCTGATCAAATTGACCAAGCCCTCTCTCTTTATCCATCGGCCAATATCTTCGTTGTTGGTGACTTTAATGCCCATCACACCGATTGGCTTGGCTCTAGTGTCAGTGACTCTGCTGGCGTTAAGGCCCTCAACTTTTGCCTTTCTCAATCTCTAACTCAAATAGTCAACTTTCCAACTCGTTTTCCAGACAACCCTAATCATTTACCTTCTCTACTCGACTTATGTCTTGTTTTGGATCCTAGTCAGTGCTCAATTTCTCCACATTCACCCTTAGGTACTTCTGATCACGGTTTGATCTCTCTAAAACTATTATCAAACTCTTCTACTTCATCAGAATCCCCCTATCATCGTACCACGTACAACTACCTTAAAGCTGACTGGGACTCTTTCCGTGATTTTCTTCGTGATGGCCCTTGGGTAGAAATCTTTCGTCTTCCTGCTGACAAATGTGCTTCTTACATAACTTCGTGGATTCAGGCTGGCATGGAATCTTTTATTCCCTCTCGACGATTCCAGGTCAAGCCTCACTCTTCTCCTTGGTTTTCCTCACATTGCGCTGCAGCAATTTCTAATCGAAACCGTTACTTCCATATCTATCAGCAAAACAATTCTCCAGAAAGCAGAAATCTGTTCACTATCGCCAGAAACCATTGTAAAAAGGTTTTGTCTGACGCCAAAGCTCGCTATTCTCAGGTCATTAAATCTCGTATCTCATCACAAAAATTAGGCTCTCGAGACTTCTGGAGAATCTTTAACAGTATCAATAATAAGGGCAAATCTGTTATTCCTTCTCTCTTGTATGGTTGAGACTTTGTCACCTCACCTAAAGACAAAGCTGAATTGTTTGCTAAGAACTTTTCATCAATATCATCTCTTGATTCCACTAGTTGCGTTTTACCTGACATAGCCGTCAAACAGGTTGATCCCTTGCTTGACATTCGCATCACTTCAGCTTCTGTATCTAAAGTAATTTCCTGCTTAGACTCTTCAACAGCTTGTGGTCCTGACAACATTCCTGTTGTAGTCTTGCAGAGGTGTTCTCCGGAGCTTTCATCCATACTTTCTAAACTATTTAACAAGTGCTTATCAGAGTCTTGTTTTCCATAATGCTGGAAAGCAGCATCTGTTATCCCTATTTTCAAAAATTCCGGAGAGCGATCTGATTCATCTAACTACCGTCCCATTAGTCTTCTTCCTGTCATAAGCAAGGTTTTTGAATCTTTAATTAACAAACACTTAATCTCTCATCTTGAATCAAATAACTTACTTTCTGACCATCAATATGGATTTCGGTCTTCTCGTTCTACAGCTGATGTGCTAACAGTAATAACCGATAGGTTTTACCGTGCATTAGAGAGAGGTGGAGAGGTTAAGGCTATCGCACTTGACATTTCTAAAGCTTTTGATAAAGTTTGGCATGCTGGTCTTCTCCATAAGCTTTCTTCTTATGGTGTAGCTGGTAACGTCTTTAAGATTATTGAGTCCTTTCTTTCCAATCGTAGTATAAAAGTTGTCCTCGATGGACAACACTCTTCTTCACATCCTGTAACTTCAGGGGTTCCTCAAGGTTCAATCCTTGGCCCTATACTCTTTTTAATTTACATTAACGATCTTCCAGATATTCTCACATCTAAGGTGGCATTATTCGCTGACGACACTACCATTTACTCTTGTCATGATAAGAAGCCTACACTCTCTGATTGCTTGGAGGGGGTATCTGAGCTTGAAAAGGATCTCACTTCTGCTACAGCATGGGGCTCACAGTGGCTGGTGAACTTTAATTCAGATAAAACTCAATTTTATTCGGCCAATCGTTATCGTAATAATTTAGATCTTCCTATATTTATGAATGGTAATGTACTAGATGAGTCATCTACCATTCATCTTCTAGGATTAACTCTTACTTCTGATCTTTCTTTTAAACCGTATATCAAATCCATTGCAAAATTAGCATCTGCTAAGGTTGCATCTCTTTATCGAGCTCGACACTTTCTTACTCCAGATTCTATTCTCTATCTCTATAAATCTCAAATCCGTCCCTGTATGGAATACTGTTGCCACATCTGGGGCGGATCTTCTAATGATGCTCTTTCTCTTTTAGACACGGTGCAAAAACGAATTGTAAACATAGTTGGACCTGCTCTGGCAGCCAATCTCCAACCTTTATCACATCGTCGTAATGTTGCTTCTCTTTCTCTTTTCTACAAATACTATAATGGGCACTGCTCTAAAGAGCTAGCGTCCCTTGTGCCATCTACTAAAATTCATTCTCGTGTTACTCGCCATTCAATTAAGTCTCATCCTTTTTCTGTGACTGTTCCTAAGTGCTTCAAAAACTCTTATTCTTCTAGTTTTTTTCCTCGAACATCAGTTCTTTGGAATTCGCTTCCTTCATCTTGCTTTCCTGATTCATATAATTTGCAATCTTTTAAGTCATCAGTCAATCGTCATCTTGCTCTACAGATTTAGTCTTTTCTCTTCCAGTAACTTCCAACTCTTATAGTGGTTGCTTACAGCCTTGTTGGAAGTGAAGATGTTAAAAAAAAAAAAAAAAAAAAAAAAAAGCTACTGAGAACGAGGAGGCTACTTATTTGTGGTTATAACCCTCTCTCAACTCTATAACTCCAAAACACTATAATAAATAAATAGATAAATGTTTTAGATTGGCCATCATGTTCACCTGACCTGAACCCTATTGAAAATTTATGGGGAATATTGGTGCAAACTATATATGGAAATTCTCAACAGTATAATACATTACAAGAATTTAAAACATCTATCCAACAAGCATGGAACAGTATTTCAAAGGTTTGTTTGGAAAATCTTATAAAAAGTATGAAAAACAGAATCTTCGAATTAATTAGTGTGAAAGGTGGCAGCACATATTATTAAAAACTAAACTAATTAAAAAAATATTATCTAGAACGAAAACTATAAAGGATTACCTTTGATGGAACTATGAAAAACAGAATCTTTGAATTAATTAATGTGAAAAGTGGTAGCACACTTATAAAGAATTACCTTTGATGGACCTATAGAAATTTTGCCTATTTTTTCGAAATATTTCTAACGTTTAAGTTTTACAAAATAAATTAATAATTTTTTTATATTAAAATTATTTGCTTATTTATTTATTCCTAATAACTCTTGTAATGAACAAAAAAAAAATGCAAATGTTTGGTGAATATATTTATATGTAAAAATTGTAATTGGAACTATGGAAATTTAGCTGAGTGTATATATATATATATTCGCTGAGTGTATATATATATATATATATATATATATATATATATATATATATATATATATATATATATATATATATATATATATATATATATATATATATATATATATATATATATATATATATATATATATATATATATATATATATATATATATATATATATATATTCAATAATTCAGCATAAATCAATGAAACTAGTATAAAAAATTTTAAAAATTAAATATAGAATTTCATGTATATCTTTAAAGTTACTTACTCACTGTTACATAAATAATACGTTAATATAAATTAACTGCAATTAACAATAGCATTTTAAAAAAATATTTGAAGTTCATTATTGTTGTTAAACATCTTCTTAAGCATTAAATTAATTTAATTTCAATAAAGCATCAGTTAAAACAAAACAAAGAAGAATAAGCAGTTTGGTGAAAGAAAATAAACCAGAAAAATTATTATTTGCTGCAAGTAAAAAATATATAAAAAAAATGAAATTTACCATACGCAAAAGAATTTTCAGCTGATGAAGCGCTTGCCTTAATTTTAGATTGTGGGCCGACTAAAAATGCACATCAAATTATAAGATCTGCAGCAGCAATTAAAGGTCACAATAACTTGTATCCAGCATATAATAATGTTAAAGAATCTAAAAAATAATGCTATCCAGATATGGAAACTTGGGATGTTGAAAATTATTCAAAATCTCTTAATCATACTGCATTAAGATTGGTCTTTTTAACAAAGTTGTATATAAAGATTAACTTTTACATCAAAAGTTGGTTTTGATGGTGCTACAGGTCAGGCAATATACAAACAATTTGCACCAGATCAAGATGTACGCAATCTTAGTATTGAAGAAAGTTTATTACCTGCTTTGTTCCATTAGAGTTAAGTGGATTTATTGGTACAGAAAAAAAAGTAATCTGGCTTAATCTTCATCCTTCTTCAACTTCTTGTTTAGATATGTAAAAGAAACAAATAAAGTCTTCAAAGCAGAGGAACAATTCATTGAAAGTCAAAATCAAGTCAAAATTTAACAGCCTTACCAAATGGTTTAACAGTGCAACATATATTAGAATTAACCATGATAGATGGAAAGGTTGCTAATGCACTGCCTAAAAAAACAAATTCAGCTCAATGTTGCCCAGTGTGTGGAATAACTCCGCCCAAGATAAATAACATTGATGCATGCCAAAAAAAAAGTTACTATTTATAAACTGAACTTAAGTATGGCTTGTCAGCATTACATGCATGGATAAAGTGCATGGAATGCTTTTTACATGTTGCCTACAAGTTTGAAATAAAGAAATGGAGAGTATATGGAACTGTTGAAAAACAGTCTGCATAAAAAAAAGATGAATGAGTTTCAACGCAAATTAGTTGAAGAAATTGGTTTGGTTGTTGACATGCCTAAAGCTAATGGCCATGCCAGCAAGTATTCATAAAACTCTTTTTCATGGTCATTAAGTTATAAGAACAGTGTGTCATCCAATAGGCATGTTATCAGAAGAAGCTTAAAAAGCAACAAACAAACTTTTTTTAAAAATGGTAAATATTTTAGTCATAAAATGTCTAGAGTGAAGAATAATGAAGACTTACTGAGACGACTGCTATGTTCATCTGATCCATATATTAGCAGTTTGAGAAAAACCAGTATCAAATTCTAATAAAATTCCACTTCCACATGAACCAATTCAATTATTAAAATTGTCAATTGAACTTTATTATAAAATATAATATAAATTTTTGTAAATTTAATATAAAATATCGAAAGAAAAAAAAACGTTCCCCCCTCCCCTGACATGAAAACCTACGATTACAGATTTTGCTGCACCATTAAAATAGATAATAAATATAATATAATAATAAAAATAATAAATAAATATATAATAATAAAAATAGATAATCCAGTTGCATTTGCAAAAAGTTGCAAAAAAAAATTACATACATTTATTCTTCATAGATATAAATATTATGTAGGCTTAAATGTCAAGGTTAAATGTCAGTCACTGCCATTTAAAAGTTCTAGAACATTTTCAATTATTTTTTAGTTAATAGTTGAGTAAAATGAGTATATATTATAAATTACCATATGCCAACTTTAATTAGTATATCATTTAATTAATATTTGCATCAAACTTTAAATTATTGATGTACTAATGAAGATTTACAAGAATTATTTAAATTAAATGTTGTAAAAGTAAAATGGATCAGAATTAAAAAAAACATAAAAATTAAAATTTTCAAAATAAAAACAACAACAATGCAATTAATGCGCCTCTAAACCTAAGCTGATATAAAAAAAAAAAATCAGCGTAATATAATTTTAATTTAGTTAGTTAAGAGCCGATTTTTCTAATCAGGCAAATTCCTGAAACTGTGGAAGTGACCTCGTCCAAATTGCTTGAATTTTAGAAATTTAGTTTTTGCCACCTTTGAACCCATTTTTTTGGCAAGGCAAAAAGTTGCACATAGCTTTTGTAGTTAATATCAGACGTAACCCAAAAGCTCTCTCCAAAAAATATAAAAAAGTTGCGTGACACTGTGCGGTTGGCTAATTATCATAGTTCAAAAGTACAAAATCAATCAGTTTTGTCAATTTTTAATCGGAGTTAATTCTAGCGGTGAAGTGTTGCACACAATTTTTCTTTTAGGATTTGAAATTATCAAAGGTATTGAGTCTAAAAATGCAAAGAAAGTTATGTGATACCTAAGGCCTATTAATATATTAAGGCTTGAAATTGGAAAAAAATGTTTTAGTATACTTACAAAATGAACCATTACGGCAGAGGCGCTTAGTTTTGTAAAAATGTAAACATATCCAACTGTCAATACAAAAAGGTCCTAACATAATAATAAAAAAAAATTCGTGTGATTTTGTCACACGCATGATATAACATGAACTAAAAACTGAACAAAAATCTAACATCAAGATAACTATATTGCTAATTAAATAAAACATAAATCAAACATTTAAATGTTTTTCCATTTAAAAATTAGTTTTTCATTTATTAATAGAGTCATTTACACACATTATCCACCACATTACACATAATTTCTACTCTGCTGCAGTAAGTTTCTCTAAGAATAATGATATGACTGTATTATAGTCTTCTTCGGATAATGAATAATCGCCACAACCACTGATTAGAAAAGGAGCATTTACTAAACAGATAATTTTATCAGTTTGGTTATTTATCTCCTCGGTAGTAACTGGCCAGCGAAAAGTATTCTTCTCTTGCCCGTTAATCATACAATTAACTCTGATCCCAGTTATAGATACCTAAAAGTATTAGCCCAACATTTAAAATAATATAATAAAGAGTTTATGATTTGTTTAATTTTGCTTACATTCAATAAAACTTGTAAAGTCTTATATAATGTCATTCTGAAATTATTTTTACATTTTATTTATATTCCTTTTATTTTAGAGCACTGTTTTGTAAAACAAAATAAAAACTTGAAACTAATATATACTTTGAATAATATTACCTCCACAATATATCCAATATTCCATTGTTTTTCATATGCAACAGCAACCCAATCATTCACTTTCCATACAAGACAAATTTCTTTTGCAAGATTGGCGATGTCTTCCTCATATTTATTATCATCTTCATTGTCTCCTGTCAGATTAAAGTCATCATTTTTGCCATAAACTTCTTTGTTATCGTTAACCTGACTATTTTCATTATTTTCTGTTGTCGGTTCTACCAGCTTACCTTTTCTTTTCAGGTTACTAAATCTATAACAATATTAATTGTACATATTTTTAAACATATGTAAACAAACACACAAAATTATAACTTTCACCTAAGTTTTAATTTCATATTTGTAAAAGAACTATTTAACAGTCAGAAACATAATCTAATTTGCAAAAGTTTTGATAGCAACAATGCCTACCTTGAAAATAAAGATCTTATCTGTTGGCTACTTACATATTGATCAGGCGGAAGTTCTCTCCTCAGCTGCATGTGAACCTGCTCAGGGCTCATTTTATTACCTGATTCTTCTCCACGAATAAAGTATTTATACAACAGTTCTTTCTGCTGATTTGAAAATCTAAAAGAACTTCGAACTGGTAATGCCCAACCTTGCAATAGAAAAATGTTCATGCAATGTGGTTTGTCTTTTACGGAAGCACTGTTAGAGGATGAAGAAATTGGCATATTTAGTTGTGAAGTAATTTTCATCTTATGAACAAACGAGTTGCGAACTTTATCCAATGATGTTAATGATTTCGGAACTGTATGAAGCATGTGTTCTTCTAACTCAGCATTACTTTCAAATGATAAAGTACAATTCATTTCAGTGCAAAATCTTAATGAATATAATTGCCTGTCACTTCTTTTCTGTTTTTCCTTAAGTGACTTGTTACGCTTAATTGAATTATCTGTTTTGCTATATGGCAACAACAACTTAATCGAGGGTTGAATTTTAAGATCTCCATACTCTTGTTCAATTCCCTCACCGATATTGAAATAACGCCACATCTTCATACTTTTCTCACCAAACTCAAATGAGTGATAGTTGCTAATGTTCTTAATCTTTGGTACAGTAACTACAGTTTTATCATTGCTAATTTGAGCAACTGCTACTTTTGCATCTTTAGCGCCAAAACTATAATGCATAGCCTTGTGTATATCTTCAGCAGTCAAAAGATTATTACTAGAGTCAACGTAACTCCTTAAAATTGTCTTTACAACTGCACTCTTCCTGTCACATTGATCTTTTCCACAACAGGATTCATTATAATCATATCTCAGCAACTTTATATCTCTCTCTTTGCCTACATTGTAGATTGCTTCAGCTGAAAGATTTCCCTGATAGCAGTCGGCATTATTTGATTTGGTAAACATTTTCTTGATATGCGGTTGATCAATTCTGAATTGGTCTAAAACTGCAGTGGCTAACAAAACAACATCACCTATTCCCTGATCACACCTATACATTGAAGTAAAGTAAACACGTTTGAATAACTTTCCTGCAATTTTTATGAAGAATATATCCACATCTAAACTCATTTCTTTCTTGCCAAAATACTCTCTTTGGCCCTCTCTGTATCGAACCGGAAGAATTTTTTGACAAAAATCTTTAAGCCAGAAAGCAGTTTCATCGTTTAATTGCTTAAAAGCTTCGATTTTTGCCTTTTTCTGTTGAGAATCTCTCATCAGGTGTTTTATGTAGTTGAATACATCCTTTACAGCAATTTCCAAATCATAAATAGAATCAGCATCGTCAGAATTTTGAATTGTTAGTTCTTTGATCATCTCGATAGCTTTGCACAAATCATAGCAATCGGCACATACCACTTCTGATATCTCTGTGTTGGATTGAAGATTTTTTTCAGATGGATCTGATAAGGCATGTTTTGAGCTATGAGAAGAAATGTTTGAGTCATTGACACTACAATTGGTTTGATAGCTTGTTTTCAAATACCTTTTTCCTTTTTCAAGGGCAGCTTCGAGAGATTTAGAACTAAATCTTTGTGCCAATTTTTGTAATGTTTGAAAACCATTCATGCCTGAAGCAGTAACATCATCTAATCCAGCTTAGCTTTTTCGACTTGAAGGTTTTATTGCATGTAATACTTTCCACAAACTTGAATCAGATAATGGTATATAATTGTTTTCACTACAACTTTTTCGATAGAACATGATAGCGTGGCTATATTTTGTCGTCAGTATTGCATGCACTATCTTTTGTTCTTCACCGCTGTCGTATTTAAGTTTGGTTATTCCATAAGCAACATCATGCAAAATACCGCTTGTAAATATAAAGTCTAAGAAATGTTCACACTTTGTTTGATCAAGACTAGATCGGACGCATACTTTCTTCTCTGGAAACGCCAACCCTTTATGAGATGCATGCCATTTTCTTGCTGTTTCTATACGATGTTTGGTACACTCAAATGTGTTCATTATAAACTTTTTGGTATACTTGATATGGTCTAATAATGAGAGGATAACTAACTTTCCCATGGAATCACTTTGCTTATATACTTTCTGAGCACGAATAATTTCAATTGGGAGAGGGCTATTTATTTCATCAACATTTTTACTGTTAAGAAAATCTATAAGTATTTCCTCTTGTCCAGGAGCAACAGCTTCCGCAAATTTTTTCTTTAATAAGTTTTCTAGGCGAACATACTTGCGTTTTAACTTATCTTTAGTAGTATCTTCCAGATATTTGAACTTCCTTTTTAATCTAAATTTTATTGGACTTGCATTAAGAACCTCAGTTACACTCTCACGGCTTCTTAGAAATTCGTCCAAAATCTCCTGTGAAACATTAATTTCACCGGGATGAAATTCTTCATCTGGAGTAGCAGGTGTCATATATGTTTGTTCTTGTTGTGTTTGTGTTTCTGTACATAAATTGGTGTTTTCGTTGACTCTAGATAAAACAGTTTCTTGCTTTAAATGGGTAAAACACAGCATTGCACCAACTGAAAATACTTCATTGTATCGCTTTGACATTGATATGACGACATGTATTGGTGACGCCTTTAAAGCGGGAGATTTTTTTCCTTTTATATTTAGATGGTGAGGATGAAAGCATGTTTTTGGAGGACTCCATGCAATACCAAACGTGTACCGGTGAAAAGCACATATTTGTTCATCCTTTTCAAGATTTCTTTTAAGTCTATTTGCAATAAGTCCATTTTCTTCCCAAATATTATTATCGTTTAATCGCATGACCTAAAAACAATTTTTTAAACAATTATTAAGTGTGTCATTTAAAGCATTGTTTATAATCTGACTCTTCACAAAAAATGTTTACAAGTTTGAAATGCATTATTGTTATTATTAAAATACAATATTGCAAGAGTGTGATTAATTTAGTGATTATTTATTAAAAGAGTGAGGAATTAATTAAAAGAGCTATTTTTTTTTGTTTAAAGAACTTTGTCTCAAAATCTTATTGCAGAGAAGTTATAAAGTATGTAATTATAAAAGTTATATTACAGTCTGCGTAAATTTAAAATACATAATTACCTTTAAGTTGATGAGGTGTTTCTTAACATCAACATCTCCCAGCTGATGAATGTAGAAAATTTTGTTTATAATTTTATGTTTTTTGAATGATCCACAATTTCCTTTTGAAAAGCAACAACAGTTTTCATAAAAATATTTGTTTTGTTCCATACTCAACTAAAAACAAGTTCTGTTTATGCAGTACCTATTTCTCAATAGCAATGATAAAATATATACTCTATTTATGCAAATTTTAAAGATCGTTAAAATAAAGTTAAGACATTTTTATGGTAAAGTAAACAACCGCCCACTAACTTGTTTCTCCACAATCGTGATATCAGCGATTCTTCTTCCATTCGGTCACCACAAGTTATTTGGTTATGACGTAAATTTAAATAATTCACTTCTGATCACGTATTAATTTTTATTATTATTTATTTTAATTGTTATGATTTCTATATCATAGTCAGAAACGCTTAAATTTTTTCTTAACATTACGTGCAATGTTTTGTGTAATGCTAATTGCTAATTTTGGATGATAGAAATTTTATTGTGAGCGAAAACCTCATCTGTGTGTCCAAAAAAATATCTCTTCGTACTTAATCATTTTTAACAATTTGTACCTTTATTTTTAACTTAATATCTAAAGATCACATGAGCTTTTTTTTAAACTATGTTAGGGTCATCTAATATTGACCATTTAACATGATTATGTTTTTACAAAACTAAGCGCCTCTGCCATAATGGTTCATTTTGTAAGTATACTAAAACATTTTTTTCCAATTTCAAGCCTTAATATATTAATAGGCCTTAGGTATCACATAACTTTCTTTGCATTTTTAGACTCAATACCTTTAATAATTTCAAATCCTAAAAGAAAAATTGTGTGCAACACTTCACCGCTAGAATTAACTCCGATTAAAAATTGACAAAACTGATTGATTTTGTACTTTTAAACTATGATAATTAGCCAACCGCACAGTGTCACGCAACTTTTTTATATTTTTTGGAGAGAGCTTTTGGGTTACATCTGATATTAACTACAAAAGCTATGTGCAACTTTTTGCCAAAAAAATGGGTTCAAAGGTGGCAAAAACTAAATTTCTAAAAATTTTTAAAAAAATCCCAAAAATTTAAATAAAATTTAATAAATGGAAAAAAAAATTTATTAAATTTTCACATTTTGAAAAACAGTTTTGTCCACTATATATATATATATATATATATATATATATATATATATATATATATATATATATATATATATATATATATATATATATATATATATATATATATATATATATATATATATATATATATATATATATATATATATATATCTGTGTGTGTGTGTGTGTATATATATATGTATACACATTAAGAATGTTAAAATTGCATCATTTTTTTATTGTATTCACTAATGCCGAGAAGGACCAATGCAATCGTAAAAGCTGTTTTTTTTTTTGATTTTTTGTTACTATTGTTGTTCTTACGTCAACCCTTCAACTCCAAAAGTCAACTTTTGCCAGACAAAGCCATAACACAAAGAAGCATATTGATAATTAAATTTTCCTTATATAAAAATAAATTTAAAAAATAATAATATTTAATGAAAATTATTAATAATAATTAAATTTTTAAGTTTAAAATTTTTTATCCTGTTCAAATTTTAGTCTTGGTTGACTCTCAGTTAGCACCTACAACTTGGTATGAAGTTAACACTAATGTAAACAGCCCAAAACTAATACGATATATTGCAATCGAAAAATTGTTTCCTCAAAATAGAGTTAGACGCTCAGTTGTTAATACTAATGATAGTTTTTTGGTTGTGATTGGTGAAAACACAACTTGTGCTGCAATAAAGACTAAAATCCTCCCCTCAATTTGTAATGGACCTTTAAAGTCAGGATTTGCTTATAGGTATCATTAGATTTTTGTTGATTTTAGTACTTTATATAACAAGTCATAATAAATAAGCTAATGGAGGATTTTAATAATGGAGGATTTTATTTCAGATTATGTTTAAATTAATGATTCAGATTGTGTTAAAATTTGAAGTTTTTAACTTGAAATAGTTAAAAATCTTCCTGTCTATTTCACATATTGTTTATTACATAGTGTGCATTATAAGTTGTACGCATTATAACCAATGGTAATTTTGCATGTTTTATTTAATTGACTCTTTATGTAAAGTATCATAAACTTACAAAGCATTTAATTATTTAAAAACTTAAAATTTTTGAGAAATAAATTGGGTTTAAAGAATTTCTGCAAGATCTAGATTTTCACAATCATACCTGAATAATTACAATATTATTTTGCAAAGGACAAATAACAATAACCTTATAAACTTATTTGGCATCAACTTAATAAAAACAAAAATAAACTTGAGTCATATTATATCAGAAAAGTTGAAAAGAAAAATAAATACAATTATAAATAAATGGAAGTACATTAAATAAATAGAAATACAATTATACTTTGTAAATGACATATTTGTTTTCAATAATGATAGTGTGGTAATGCTTTGCATCATCACATGTGATGATACTTCTAAAAAATGTTCAAACAAAATTTAATGTTTAATGTAGAGTTTAGCTGGTTGTATCTACATATGAAGAGAGTGTTCAATCCTGTATTGGGTTTTCTAGCTAAAGCATTTGCTGCTCAATGTATTTATTGTAAAACCTTCAAGATTTTTGCGATCCATCACCTTCTTTTCTTATCTCAGCTACATCTTTAAAGATAAATTGATTCATAAGAATTAAGAATTTTTGTACATATGTAGTTCTAACAGCAAACAAACTTCCTTGATTTTAGTTGTATTGTCTTGGTTTTTTTTTGTGTGTAGCACAAACTTTTAAACTAATCTACAGGTTGGGGTAAATCTCATTAAGATTTTGAGATTAAGAGCATGAAGACTAATTTTATTTATATAAAATTATCTTTGCATTATGCTTTGAAAGATGTTAATCTATTATCTTCAAGTCTGAATAGAGAGTAAAGTCCTTGACAACTAATAGAGAGTCCTTGTGTTTTAATCCAATCAGTCCTTGTATCAAATAATTAGCTGCAAATATATCCACATTTGGAGTTTATCAAATTTGCAGATTTATTTTTTTAGATTTACATGTTTCTTTGCAAGATGTTAAAATGAATGAAAGTGAAAAAAAAAAATTTTTTTAATTTCTTATTTTTAATCAACCTGATTGGTTGAATATTTCACCAACTGAGTTAAAAAAAACTTTTTTTTATTTATTTAAGTTTTTTTTCAAATAATCTTTTTACTCATCGAACTTTAATTAATTCATCAAATCCATGAAAAAACATTCAGATATATATAAAAAATTCCTCAAGGAATAGTTACATTTCTCTGCACAGCAGCCTTATTTGTTGTGTTATGGAATTACATGGAGTTGAGTTTTGAAGTTAAGAGTTGTAAGAGAGGGTTGTAACTACAACTAAAGCCTCCTCGACTGCAGTGACCTTGGCTTTAAGGAGGTGAATTAAAATTAATTCAGCTCCTAATTAAAGATAAATCTTTTTATTACACTACAAATTGTATAGATTATATATAAGCTATAGATTGATATAAGCTTATGTCTTGTTAGATAATTGTAGACATAAATGTTGTTAGATACTATTATCTTATATCTTACGCAGCTGCTTTTTCTAATAGAAAAAGTCCTGGGAATAGTAAAATTAACACAATACTTATTTTTAAATTCTCATCAACATAATGATTGTCTTATTGTTATTTTGTTACTTTTTTTTAGTCATAGAAACAAAATGTTATAGGATAAGAGGAAGTAATCCAATGAGTAACTACCTTACAAAATAATTTGTTAAAGTTATTCCAATGTTGTTTTTTAAATAGAAATTTTAAAAAAATCCTAAAGATTATCTAAATTTCTGTTCTCATTCATTTCTGATTTTCAAAATCAGAAATGAATGAGAACAGAAATTACAAATTTAATTACAATCATGCTTTAATAAAAAAGAATCCCATAAAGAATCACAATCATGCTTTAATAAAAAAGAATCACAAAAAGAAATAATATGTATGCTGAACGTTTAATCAGTCATTAATTAAAATACAAAAACCTGCAACTACATCAATAAATCTACTTGCATTATGAACAATCAGTGTGTAAGTAAGAACATTGTGTATCAAGCTACTGTTCCATCCAATAAACCAGATTACACAGAAAAAGTTTATATTGGTATTAATGAGACTTCATGTTAAGGTATGCAAACCATTTAAAATCTTTTAAGTTAATTAAGATAGAGAATTATCTAAAGAAATTTAGAAACTTAAAGAAGAAAACTTTTCATTTGGTACTAAGAGGAAAATTATTAGGCGCTCCCAAACATATAATCCTTCATCCAAAATTTGCAACCTTCGTCTTAATGAAAAGTATTATATTTTAACGCATACAGAGGGAAGTCTGTGATCAAAAGATACGAGTTATTTATCTACTATAGCATATTTATATGCGCAATTGCTCACTTTTTTTGCTAGCCTAAATTAAATGAGCATTTTTAGAAAACTATGAGGGAAAACGAAGAATAATGAATAAAAAGGTTGCTGATCCATACCAAACCCTCAGTCGATGTAGCAGCACTCCACTGTGAGTCAGGCTATTTGGCAGTCGATGTATGTACTGAAGCCCCCGGCAGCAGGCTATTTAACGTTAGGTGAGTATGACATCATCATGCTCACCTAACTCAGCAGTACGATATATATATATATATATATATATAAATATATATATATATATATATATATATATATATATATAAAATATATATATATATATATATATATATATATATATATATATAAAATATATATATATATATATATATATATATATATATATATATATATATATATATATATATATATATATATATATATATATATATATATATATATATATATATATATATATATATATAAAATATATATATATAAAAGCTTTTAATTGAGTAATTAAGATTAAGAAAATTGTTTTCATATTATTGTGTAACTAATTTTCATCTTTATTTTAAGAAAATTATAGAAAATCGTTTTCATATTATTGTGTAACTTTTTGTGTTAATTGTTTTCATATTATTGTGTAATTTTCATCTTTATTTTATGATATTTTTATATAGACGCGTGCTCACATGCACACACACACACACTAACATTTGCATAAGAAAGATTTATGGGAACTATGAAGTAAATACTGATTGCCAGAATTATTGCAAACTAAGTTTTATTTTTTGTAAAAACTGGGAAGAAGCATGAGGGCAGTGGGTATCTTATCCAAGAATTTGATAATTTTGTTAGCTGTTTGCTTGATTGTATCAGTTTTGTCAAGCTCTTAGCTCCTCTTGCTTCAAGTAGCAATGTAATCATAATTTCTAGATTAATTTAATAGATTATTTCTGAATTGATATTGTTAAGTTAGTATGAAGTAGTATACTCTGAATTAGTATTCTGATTTTTTTACTTTGTAAATGTATGAAGATGTCAGGTTAATATATATTTTTAATTGCTTATCTCTTGTGTTTTTTTTGCTGTTTTGTTTATCAGTTTTTTATTATTATAATTTATTTTTATTATTATATTTATTTACATTTTTTTAATTAAATATGTATTTTTTAAAGCTTACTCAATATGAAAAGTATATTAAAATAAAAATTTTACCATAAAAATTATTACCCCTTTTTAATTAAGCCTAAGAGTGCACCTTCTGATGCTCCATTAAATAGGATTTTTTTTGGTGAAATATCTTATATTTATGTTTACTTGTGCAATGTTTTCGGTTTATAGTATTTTATTCTAAGTTGGAGTGATTTTTTTAGTTAATCCAGCGCACTAATAGTTTAATGTTGATATTTTATGGAGTGATGGAGAAAACAATAAGAACTTTATAGTCTTAATCTTTACAGCCTACTTTATTTATATGGCCGGATATTTTGCATTTATTTTTAAAAAACCAATTTTAAAAATGTTAAAAAAGGTTTTAAAACTTATGGCTTCTTGAATATTTGCAGAATTAGTTTTCTTTATAAATACAAAAAGTTTCTAAAACAGTATATGTTTATATATTATTAAACAACACATAAGAAAAAAAGCTATTAAAACAACTAAAATTCAAGTAAACAAGCATTATTTAAAAAACAAAAACCATTATATAAAATGTTGCAAATTTCAAATTTAACAAAATAAATATAATTGTATTATAGATGATTTAGTCATTAAGTTTTATTGAAATTTCTCTTTACTACTGCTTAATATATATATAAGATACACCTGAAGTGGCGAACGTTTGTTTTTATCATTTTTGTTATTTTAATAATAATTGTTAAAATTACTTGTATTCGTAACACTTTAAAAAAATTTAAGAATTATAAAGTTTAAATCAAAAATTAAAGGATTAAAAATTTTCTTGAATATGTATATGTTTATATATTATTAAACAACACATAAGAAAAAAAATTATTAAAACAACTAAAATTCAAGTAAACAAGCATTATTTAAAAAACAAAAACCATCATATAAAATGTTTCAAATTTCTACTATTAAACAAAATAAATATAGTTGTATTATAGATGATTTATTCATAAAGTTTTTATTGAAATTTCTCTTTACCCTACTGCTTGATATATATATATATAAGGTACACCTGTAGTGGTGAACATTTGTTTTTATCATTTTTGTTATTTTAATAATAGTTGTTAAAATCACTTGTATTTTTAACACTTTAAAAAAATTTTGATTACAATGGAAATGTAGCAATCAAAGTTTTCTGCACTGTTTACTCCTACAAAAAAAAAAGAGTTACACTGAAAACTTTATGATTTTCAAGTGATCGAAATTTTCATCACTATTCACTCCTACAAAAAAAGAGTACCTAGTCAGCCTAGGTGTAACTGAAAACAAGTTTATGATTTTAAAGAAGTTTTATAGATACTTAATGAAATCGGAAAATCATTTATAACCGGTTCTTATGATAAGATTATTTTGAAAAAAGTTTTAGTACAAAATTCTGCTTCAAAAGTACGCTTCACGAGTAACATAAAAAAATACTTTCTTTCCAAAGAAATAACGCTCTCATATAATTTGAAGGATATTTTGCTTTTAATTATGCATAAACACAGTAAAAAACAGGAAACTTTACAAAACACAGATATCTTGGTTTGTTGGATTCAAAGGCAACAGGTTGTCAAAATAAATAAGCAAGAATAAAAAACGTTATGTACAAATAATATTTACTATTCAAACCAGGTCAATAAATTAAATTTTAATTTATGTGAATAATTTTTCATTTTGGTTGACTCTTTTAAATGAGTTCAGGTTTTTCTCTGCTAAAATAAGGCTCTGTGTCTGTGTCTGCTTGTGTAAGGCTTGATAAGGTTACAATATACTCTAAATTTTTTATTATTTGCTGTTAATCAAAATGTTCCTTTCATCTAAAATAGAAAAAGACAATGATAATTGTTGTTTCTAACAATTCTATAATTTTGTTTTAACTTTAATTCAATAATATATATATATATATATATATATATATATATATATATATATATATATATATATATATATATATATATATATACATATATATACTTTTTTAGTATTTATTATTCTTCCTAAATCATACTAAGTGTATATCTCTAAATAAATTCTCTGCTTGCAAAATCAATGATCTTCAAGATTCTATTTTGTCTTCATAAAATAATAACATTATTAAAAATTATTGTAAATAATTTTTACTTAGTAAAATTTATTACTTAGCATATAACTTAACTAATCCTTGTTGTTGTTTTTTTTTTAAATAAATTATTATTTTTTAGGTATTATACAAGACTAAGAAATTGGAATGTAACAATGTCTACTGTTCTTGGTGTTGATGGAGAAGAATATTATAACGTAATAGAACACATGTGTTTTCCTGCTTATTTATAATCAAGTTAGTATAGCAAACTGGCTATGGGATAGTATAAACATAATGAGGTGAAAGTTTTGTCTATAATAGCAAACCCTCTAAACTGCTCAGAATTGAAACTTATTGCAAAGTACTGTGGGTAATTATTAAACGAAAATTAAAAAAAAAACTATGAATTGTTAAAGATTTAAAAATATGTTTTAAAAAGCATCAACTCGTTATGATTTTTATTTTGTGCTCAAGCACAAAACAACAATTATAACAGTTATTTTGAAAAATTATTGGTTACAAAAAAATTTTATTAGATGCCCTAAATAATAATAAATAGGAGTGAATTGAATTCTTTGAAATATTTTATCTTCTTATACTAATAGATTTAAATTAATAATTCTTAATAGAAGTTGATGAGTACCTTTAGAAAAAAAAATTAGGAAAATGTTTATCGGAAAAAAATGAAATTTGTGAAAAATTAAAATAATAATTTGATAAGTTTATAATTGTAAAAAGTTTTAAAGCCTAAAATTTGAATGCCTCAAAGGAAAAGTTAGTGATGATGTCTTGCTAAAGTTGCTGTTTGTAGAGTTTGTAAATGTACTGATCTTTTGATTATCCTGTAATTTAATAAATTTTGGTTTGTATTTTGTTGGGTCAATTTTATTATTTAGTTGTAAACTTAAAAAGTTGTCATTCTTGTTGACCCAAGATTCATAATAGGTATTGTTTTTCCAATTGTCTTGTGTGTGTATTTGAATTGTGGGTGCTCATTGGGCTAATGTTGTGTATTAAGGTAGATTAAACATATACTTACAAAAAATATAGAAAACATGAAAAGGTATTTCATATGTATATTTTATTTTATAATAATATCTGTTTTTAATGTTATTTGTTATTAATATAACTAAATGACTTAACTTAAAAGTGAAGTTATCGTAATGTTTTTTTGTTTTTTTTTTCAAAAAAACGGAAAAAGTCTTATACTTAAACTTCAAACTTTATATCGTCGGTATAATTTATATAAACGTAATTCTACGTAACCTCGTCAAAAAGTTAATTTGAGATATATAGAACGAAATTTACAGAAAAAAATTATTTTAAAAACGAATTGTTAAAAAAACTCCATTATAGACTAATGAAAAACATTGTCTAAACATATTATTTCAAACATGAGCTAAAATAAAAAACATTGATTTTATAAATACAAATACGTAAATTATAATGTGCAAAAGTCTATTATATCAAAGTATTATTGATTTATTTTTATAATGAGTTGTAATACAAGTGTGTTATAAATGCTACACAGCTGTTTTTAGCAAGTGTTAAACTAGATGTTTTCTTTATATCTTTTCAGGTTTCGCTTTAAAGATCGTATTAGAATCAAGTTTTGAATAGCTGCACTGAAACAAGATAAGTTTTTATAAAAACATTTTTTTATTGTTATTTTTATAGTTTTTTATTTTTTAACTATTCTACCTTTTTATTTTAGCTTTCCTACTGTTGACATATGGTTTTAATTTAGTAAATTTTTATGTTTTTAAATTTACTTTATTGATTATAAGATAACAGTTTAGAAAAAGAAATTTAACACAATTAGGGTAAGAAATTAGCTTTTAACATAACAAAACCTGGTTTTACTGTAAATTCTTATGCTATTCTTAGTTTAATTATATGTCAAATGTTAATAATGATAATCTTTATTATTTCTTTCAACTAACTTTATTTAAAAACTTTGGTATATAAAATTCGCCGAATGGTCACACACGAGCAGTGAACAGAGGAAAGAAACATTAGAATAAAGAAGAATTATTTATCGAACGAAGCATATTTTGACAGTTGTCAAGACAAAAATAAAGATTAATAGAGGAAAATTTCAAAACAAGTAAGACAGACAACACATCCAAGCAGTACTCACAATAACAATAACAAAAAATTGTATCATATAAAAAACTAGTACGTACGACGATATACAACAAATATAACTAAAATAATTTTTTTTATAACTAGTTTATCCCGTCAGACAAACGTCATCGCCACTTGTGCTTTACCCCGCGAATTTTATATGCCAAATTTTTTAAATAATATTGGGCCTAGCCCGTAAGGGTTAGTGTTACGGTCATCGAGCGCGACTATTTTTCTAATCGCAATTACTGTCACCGCGAAAGAGGATTTTTGTCTGTGGAACATGCCTGGGCTAGCTTTTTAGTCATAAGTCAGTTATAAATCCATGCATAGGTGTTTAATCCATCATGGTTTTCTGGAGTATGGCTGGGCTGGCTTGGTTTAGTTCAGAGACAAATCTTTTACGCTGGTTACTAACAATACAAGACTCTACTGAACGACATAAACAGCACAGACTTACACATTACACCTATACACCCTTTTGCACATACAGCCTGTTTACATCTTTTGCATGCTTTTTGTTCTTTCATAGATGAACTATCTTTGTTTGAACTCATCCTTATTTAGATAATATTTTCTTTTAATAGATATGTTGTTGAAATGTAGATACAGATTTGTATGTTATCTATATGTGTTTATCATGTGTGATTGAATTTTTCATTTAAGGATTCATCTGAATTTACATATAAGTATAAGAGCGATTCTTATAAACTAGCGGCTTTCGACTTGCTTTTATGAAGTATGTTTTTCCTTGTTATTTTGTTACGGTCTCAAAGTTACATTTAATTCGGACCGTAGAGAAAACTTTATTTTTCGGAAATTTCGATTTAGATATGGTCTGTCACGGAGAAAACAGTTCGCCGGAGTAAACTGTCCGGCCGGACTGTTTACTCCGGAGTAGAATGTCCTACATTGGAGTAAATTGTCCTACTTAGCAAATAATTAGTTAAAGAATCGCGGCTGATTTTGTATCAATAATTGGTACAAAATCAAAAAATTGGTACAAAATCAGTGCAAAATTTTGTACAAAATCAGTACAAAATTTTGTACCTATAATTGGTACAAAATCAGCCGTGATTATAAGATTTTATATTTGTTATATATTTAGCTATAATTAATATTGTTCGATTTAAAATAAATTATTATGATAAAATATCAAAAATCATTTTCAAAATGGATGAACAGAAGAATAATTATGAAGAAATGATGCTTGCTGATGTTAGTAACTATTTATCTAAATCTGTTTATCGTCATGACTGCACCCTAAATGATAAGCAGACAATTAGACGAAAAGCAAAAAGGTAAAGATTGTAAAAGTTAAGATGCTATGTTTGTATTTTTACTAGTACATAGTTATAATTTCTAACTATGTTACTATGTAACTAGTAACTCACTATTTTTAAAATAGTGATTTACTAGTAACTCAACTAGTCTAGTTAGTCTAGAGTTACTAGTGAGTCACTATTTTACTCAAATTAAATGTGAGTAAAATAATTTTACTCGCATTTAATGTGAGTAAAATGGTGAGTTGAAATAGACTCGCAATACAGTAATGTGACATAACTGTATTGCGTATATATAATATATATACATATATATATGCAAATCGTAACCTATATATGTATATACATTATATATGCATATATATAATGTATATACATATATAGGGGAAACTGGGGTAAAATGGGGTACTTAAGAATGAAACCCTAAAAAAGTCACAAAAATAAATAAAATGATTACAAATATATGTTGAAACATCAGAATACAACATAGACAACATTGTAACAAAACAGCAAGTCAAAAGAATGTAAATTAATTGATTTATTACATTTTTTTAAAAATAAAATAAAAACTCCATTTTACCCCAAGCATGGGGCAAAACGGGGTAATGGATGGGGCAAAATGGGGTCAAAGGAGGAACTCAAACAAATATGATAAATCAATCACTGCTAGTACAAATATAATCAATCACTGCTAGTACATAGCTCACACAAAAAGTAAGGTTTTTTGTTTATTTCATCAATGCTTGCACAAGAATAATGGGCCCAAAAAATAAAGAAAACTTAAATTAAACATTTTTTTCTTTATAACAGGACTTCAAAAAGCTTAATTATCTTGATACTTTGCATAATTTTATTTTTTTACTTCTAATTTGGATTCCATTTCTAAAAAATGTGTTATGAAACCGCAAACACGAAACCATTATTTAAAAATATTTTCTGATAACGCTTCATTTATTTACCTGGTTATTTTCCTGTTATGGCCATACCATTATTGCTAAAGCAATCCAGTTTTGACCAATTGAGCTATGTAGGCGTTAGTCCATAAAGAAGCCAATCCTTGTTGTTTGTAACCTATTTAGTTTTGGCTTGAAACAATTTAGAGAAGTGACTGTTACAGTATTGTTATTAAGTAAGTTCCAGCGGTTGACTACATGTTCCGATAAGATATATTGTCTGACCACAGTTGTAAATCTATGCTTAATGAGTGTAAGTGGGTGACTTCTTTCTTTTATTCTTTTGTTTGTGGCTAATTCAAAAAAAAAAATTTATGAAATTTAGTAGACAACTCATTCAGCTGCTTGTATACTTCTATTAAGTCTGATCTAGTTCTTCTTTCCTCAAGTGTCCATACACCTAATTTAAGTATTCTGTCTGCATAAGATCGATGTTGCACTTCATTATTATATTACTCTTATCTTATCTTGCATTATTATTTTACTAAAATAATGTTTTTCAATTAGTTCTTTATCTTTGATATAAAACTATCAAAGATGTCACTTCAGATACAGAGATGACTGTCACTTAACCTGTGTGGTTTTTTAGTTATTTTAACTTTGTTTTTTCATATTTTAGATGGTTTTTTTTGTTTAGCATATATTTTTAAGCAAAATTTGTTTTCATTATTATTTACTGGTAGTATTTACGAATATCTTTATGAAAAAAATGTTTTGCAAACAATCTAAAATTTAAATAGATTAGAAAATATTTATAACATTTAGAACAATTAATCTTTTAATGAAAATTAGATACATATTTGGCTTCGTAAGTTTGTCCATTTTAATATGTGTTTCTGACATATTTATTTAAGAGGTTTGAAAAAATCTTAATTCTTATGTTGATTTGTTTTTATATTTGTTACTATTGCATTCTTCATACAATGGAAGGAGTATGTTTAATAGTTTTTGGAACACTTTCCTACCCAACGCAAGCTTATTTAACTCCCCCCTCCCCCTCCATAGCGTGAAACTTGTTGAAAGAAATCTTGATAACGTAGAATTTGTTGAAAGTAATATTGATAGCGTAGAATTTGTTGAAAGTCATGTTGATAGTGTAGAATATGTTGAAAGTCATGTTGATAGCGTAGAATTCATTGAAAGTCATGTTGATACTGTTAAGTTTGTTGAAAGTCATGTTGATACTGTTAAGTTTGTTGAAAATCAAGTTGATACTGTAAAGTTTGTTGAAAATCAAAATTTCAAAATTTTTTCAGGTACTTCGTTCTGTTAATAATGAATTCAATGGTTAAAAATCACAAAGTGATGTTTACCTTTTCATTCATAAACTAACAGCAATGGAAAACAGCACAAATCAATAAAAGACATGGTGCAGAGATATGGTGACAAACACGAGAAACTCAGTTCAAAGGTATGTTGTTTTAATGATATGTTCATTTATGGATTTTTAAACAATTTATAGTTAAGTAAATTATTTCAATTGGAGAAGAATTGTTATTTTTTTAGGATTCGTAAGTAAATTCCTTGTGAACTTATAAAAAATTTTATTTTTCAGTACTTACTGAAGTACGAACACCTTTAATCGTAATTATTTTTGCAGTTTCATATTGCTGATACCTGTTTGTTAAAAACTGTCACTCTATTCCTTGGCAGGATTCCCACTCCTCCCTAAAAAACCAAATATCTTTAAAACTCCCAAATAATAAAAATAGGAAAATGTGGCTATTCTGCTTTTACTGCTTTTTATACCTTGTATTCATTGATTATACTAATCATAGAGAGGCATATGATTATTTGATTCTCTACAGAGTTGTTAGTCCTTGGCCTTGGCCAAAGGTTAAATCCTCGGCTATGAAACTTGGCCTTGGCCTTGTCCTTGAAACCTTTGGTCTTGGCTTTGACCTTCAAAAATTTGGCTTTCCATCATATCTTTTTGAATTTAGAACTATAATTGTTTTAATGTTTATAAACATTAGTATTTCATAATGTCTTTACCTATACCAACAACCAACTTGTGCTTATATGGCATTGAATTTGAAAAGCGTGTATTAAGCATATTTGTTTTAATTACAAGCTATAAATCTTTTAATACTAAACATATTTAATTAAAAACTGTATAATTTAAATTTATCATTGTGTAATTGTTTTTAGTAATACTGTTATATTATCTACAATATTGAATAAAATTATGTGTGTGATGCAAATATTAAGTCGCGTGTTTGTCTGTTTTTAAACCAATAAGCCTTAAAACTGCCCCCTTACTAGATGGTGTGGAAAATCCTTATTTTTACCATATTTTTATTAGTGGTAACCCAAATTTTATATTTTATAATTTAAAAACTACCCTGGTGGCTCTTGATAAATATTTCAATCAAATTGTTAGGAACAACGACTATCCTCTAAAAAGTGCAACGTTGTCGTGACATTTAATTTAAAGAAAAAATTAAAAGCAATGATAAGAGAACTGTTGAAAAAAAATTTAGAAACAACTGTTCTGCGAATTCAAAAATCATAATATTTGAACCCTTTGAATCTTTTAATATTTTTACTTCTAACAACAAAATTATCACTGTTTTTATTTTTATTTTAACTTTTTTTTAACTGATAGATCAGGAATAAAATTGTCAAGGCTAGAAGCCTTGACAATTTTAAAAAATCATGAAAAGGTTATATAGTGCAAAATGACAGTTTACAGAAGATTATAAATGTTTTCCAGGTTCATATAATCAGAAAAATCATATTTTCCTGATTTATATAATTCATACAGTCAGGAAAATTAAAAGTAAACACCAATCAA